GCCACAATGGCTTGGCATCTGGCGGTTTGCCATATCTGAATAGTAGCATGTCCTAATGGATCAGCTGAAAGCAGTGCAGCCTCACTACCTGCCCTCTGTCCCTCGCTCTCGGTGCCAAAGGGTGATCCGGGGCTCTGTCCCTGCTGACAGCTGAGATCACTCTGGCACACAAACACAAGCAGAATACAGAATGATTGGCTAGCATCAGGACTGGCGTTAAAGCCAACAGCAGTGGAGGTATGAGAGCTGCTGTGCATAGGGTGGACGCAACAACAGTTATACAGTCCGAGAGCTAAATATTACATGAAGACAAAAGTTTGAAGCAGGGCTGTGCAATTGTTTGCAATTGTATCGTAATCCCGATAAGAGAATTCTGAAAAGACATACTTTGCTGGTATTTGACTCAATTTATGATCGTTAAGATGCTGGATATGTTTCTTTGTTGTTTCACAGTTTTTATGCTTAATTGAAGAGCACAACTATTCTGAAATGCACATGTGATGATGTATTGTTCTTGTGAAAGTATCCAAATATAACCTTGCCATGCTGTAGGCATGTAAGGATCCAGCTGATCTGCAGCCAAACTATGTATTGTATTTCAAATGTTGCTCATGTATTTCAAATGTTGCTCACTCGGTCATGTTTTGGCCGGAGAGTGAAAGCAGAAGATGTCCGACAGCAGAACAAACAACCTGAACTGTGCCTGCCGACCCACTTATCAGTCTGCCACAGCTGAATGGTGTCAGCATCGTCTCCTGCCTATCTCCATCTATTCTTATGCTTTATGTATATTTTTTTAAGAGTTGTGTTTTTTTTTTCTAGGAAAATATTCGGAAGTTACACCAGAACTCAATTTGAAAGCCTCACTGTACAAATTTAAGAATTTTAGAATTCTTGTTCTTTTTGTAGCACTTTTCATACTGTACTCAGACATAAACAGAAAATCAATAAAACCACAATCCACGCATGAGTTAGAATAAAACATTTTACATTTCCTGGGGCGCTGGTAGTGGTTAGTGCGCGCGCCCCATGAACAGAGGATGTAGCTCTCCAAGCGGGCAGCCCGGGTTTGAATTTCGACCTGTCTTTGCCACATGTCATTCCCCACTTTCTCTCTCCCTGCCCTCAAGTCTTCAGGAAGCTGATATGATAAGATAGTCTCAACCTTTTATGTAGCATGATTTTTTTTGTATTAATGGGTAACACAGCCTGCAGCTGTAACTTTTAAAATCAGGATCGCAAACAGTTTCTCTTCCAAGCCACAATAATGCTGTAAAAATAAAATGTCACTTGTTTTTTTCCACTCTCAAAGCAGTTTTATTTATTGCATGGTCTTCCTGAGGGAGTCGTGCATTGTGTGTTGAGATCTTTAAATCCTCAAAGGAGACTTTATGTTGTTAGAATGACACATGTTAAACAAGCCCACAGATGCCTATATTTTATTGCACATTACATGCAACACTGACTCATAGACTCAGTGGTAAACACATGAACATAACCATGAACAGGTTGTTTGTCGTTTCCCTGTGACCTGAAACACGACGATTTAAGACAAACAAGTCATAATCAAGGGATACAATACGCACAAGAAGATGGAAGACAAACTAATCAGCCATGTGGGACATTTGTTTTGCATTATTTTTTACAATTTCATGTTAAACTGAAGCAGCTGCAGTAATGTGGATTGTTTGTGGTTATGTCTTCATATAAACTCTGTGTGGAGTCGTATTTTTTCTCCATCTGCGAGCCTGTCAGCTCTCTGAGGAGGCTCGACATCAAAAATTGAGGTGATGGTCCCATCAGTGACACAAATAATGAAAGAGGGCTCTTCTCTGTGAGTGACGCGTCTCTTCCTCACACCCCATGTGGTGCTGATTCGTTCAGCTTACTCATGTTTCTCCTCCAAACAAATTAATATTTATTATAGTCACTCAAGCATTCAGCTCAGGAGACTTATGACCCTTCTCTCGCTGTCGGACTGTGCAACGCTCACATATAAAAACCGAGTCTGTGCGATGGGTCTATTTTGGGTGACCATTATCTCCTCCACTCTGCCTGTATGAGACAGAGGAGGGTCACAGAGGAACCCTCTGCTGCACATATCAATAAACAATACAGCCTCTGTGTGTCATATCTCTGAGTGACTGTGTCCAAGTCTGACATGTCATATGTGGTGACGTGTCAAAGTGTCGCCTATATACAATCTGCAGCTGTTATCCGGTCGTTCTAAAATGTATTAAATGCATCCAAGCAAACAATGGTATATTGTCACATGAGGAGGAAACATGGACGATGCGTGTTCATTATGCAACTTTCTTTCAACACCATGTAGACTTAATGGATTCAGCCGGAGGTGTTGGGAACAAGTTAAGGCTAACATGATAAGGGATCTAGTTAGAACTATTACTAATAACTCTGGGATTATTTTCACTCCTTTGATCTTTGAAATGTCACAAAGTTTAAAAGGTCCAGCAGTTCTCTCAAGCCACACCGATGTCTTATTAAATATGTTGTATTAATTATGTCATTGATAATAATAGATTTTAAAAAATACATTTAATGATAGAATTCAAATGTGTTTGAAATACAGTTCATGCAATATAATGTTGGTTTTAGAGTGCAGTGTTAGTATAACCTCAACCACATCAATGAATATATACTGTATATATGTATGTGTGTGTGTGTGTGTGTGTCTCATAAATATACTTGTGTTTTTTAAATGTACAAACTGAATATAAAATGCTGTAATATTCATTTTCAACACTTAAATATATTTGATCTTCACATCCATATTTCAGAACAGGACTGCACTGATAATTCCGTAGTTGTCATGGCCATACGTACATGCACTATAAACACATGAACACACAAACTACCTAAAGAGATGTTTTTTTATATATATATTGCAATGTTAATGCACTGATCATACAAAGATGTGTCCAGTCAGTTTGAGTCCATGATTTACAGGCCATGCATTCATACCATTTGTCCAATGACTAAGCCTCAGCTGACCATCAGCCGAGCTCTGAATCACTGGTATCATTTTGATTAAGGACTGGATTTTGAGGTTAGAAAACTTGACTCTGAGGAAGGAGAGAAAAACGGTGGCAATGTAGTTGAAGAAGTTCTTGTGGTGAGAAAGTCCAAGCCCTTTGATATTTGGATTGTTTTTTGTTTCAAGAGTGACACCCTGTTACTTTGGAAAACATGACGAACTTTGGAGCCGATATGCACAGACGCACACACAGTGTCGTTTATAATGCATGTGATATAGCTTTGCATAAAAACATGTCTCGTATTTTACTGATCTTTTTTTTTCTATACATAATAGGCCTCAGACAGAGAGCTTGTTAGAAAATAATAAAAACGTTATTCTAAACGGCTAGTGATTCCCTCATCCTAACCCAACATGTACAGTAATAGTGAGTGTAAAAATCAGAAGAACCAGTAGACAGAACAGTTTTAGATTTCTCTGCTCTAACTTCTCTGACACGTCTGAACTTTAAATAACCTTCAAGAAATCCCACAGAAGTCTGAAAACACTCACTCTGCCTTCTGATGACTCAATCTTTTTTTTTTTTTTATTCTAATGGAATGTGTGACAGTTCACATTACATTCATGCATTTGAGTTTGTTTACAGAAGTGTGATTTCCTTTCATTAATTCTCTTTTACCTGCTTGTTCCTGTTCAGTGTGAATGGGAGCCAGACTTTCCCAGCGGAAAAACATAGCAGAGACCCATAAAACAGTTCAATGTTCCTGTGTGGAACCTTTAAAGAAATCTCTTTATTTGATTTGTTTTTTCATATATTTCAGATGTGTAAGAAGTGATGTTGTTTACTTACCCTGACCTAGAAGGCAGAGAGAGTTATGACTGCTGATGTAAAGGATCACTGTAACACCTAAATCACAGGAACTGGGCTCACTTTCAGTCATGACAGAACAGCTCATATACTGTACATCCAGGTCACATTTCAAAATCACAAGATAAATATGTTATCCTGTAAGTGTGGACATCATTAAATGTAACTAATGTCTGGATCTGGAACATATTACCATTAAGTTAAAGGATTCCCTCATGTCAAACACGGCATTAGAAGCTGTCAGCTTATTGAGCTTAATGCAAAGAAACCATGTGAGAACATGACTGAAAGGAATCTATACAATGACGACTTGGCTCAGTAGCATGCAGATACTTAAAAGTAAGGGCAGGGCGCACATAAATGCTTGGAAGAAAAACATGTATTGACAAGACATTTCAGCCCATGAGCAAACAAACATCAGCCTTAAAACCTCTGAATAACAGATAAGTCAGGGTGGATTTAACGTGTCAGTGCTGGGATTTCAGTTCTTTTATTGTACAGCCATCTTTAGCAGCATTTAAACGTGTTAAATTAAAACCAGAACGCTTCCTGGAAAGGCAAGTGTTTAGTTGTTGGAAGGAGCTGGTCTCTTCTGGCACATGAACACAACATGAGTTTAATTGTGAAAGGGCTGGTTTACTTGTGGAATTCAGTTGTGCAGGAGATGAAAGGTGGGTGTAAATCATGAGGGGTGATGGAAAGGCTTTCTCAGGTGCCACGGTTTAGTTAGTTCCTTCTTTTGTGGTGTGTGTGGTGTTGCCCCGGGCTCACCTTGACAAGAAAATGCTTATTGAATGAGCAGATGCTTCGAGGTGTGTATGAGTTACACATTTATGTTGTCAATTTGGAGAGGAATAAATCGCACGTGTCTACATTGGCTGACACAGCCTATCAAAGTGTCCACTGTGCCCTAAATGCTCCCCATGGATATTTACAAATATGTTCTAGTAAATAGCAAGTAAAGTGGGACTCTTAAATCTGAGATTGGGTAGCCAACAGACGGAACCTGACACTGTTGCGCATGAGCGCGCAGATCAGGTTGGTAACATGCATCGCAACAGAACATCTCCAAATCGCATTCCGCATACTGAAATCTAATCCGAGGACATCAGGATGTGTGACATAATCCCCAAGACATCTGAAAACTGCGCTGCTCCAAACGTGGGCTCCAGGGGTTGGTTTGGAGAGATATGCCGACCCTCTGTTCCTCACTGTTTGCTCCTGCAGGGGTATAAAGAGGGGCGGGCACCAACTGCCCCAAACGTCAGAGCGCACTGAACTATAAATCTCTCCAAACTGCCCTCTGCGCCCGCTGCGGTGTTATGCGCAGACATCTGTCCGGATTCAGTCCCAGTATGAGGACAGCGCGTAAGGAAACTCATTGAGCTACATAGACTTTATCTGACCAGGAGAAAATGGAGACACAACACACTCATATGAGTTGTTTACCATGTCGAGTTATTGTCAGATGTTGGCGATTATGAGCGTTTGACGCATTTCTGGATTAAGCAACGATTGAAGTGTTTTCTCAAGAGGCAGACGAGCGCTTCATGCACTCTGGGAGACAGATATTGTGCACTCTTTGCGCCTCGGAGACGCTGATGTCTTCATTGGACTCCTTTCAGTCGGAGATGGTGGAACTTTCTCGGATTTCCAACGTGGAAACGTAGCATCCAATTAATCAGCGACTGCAACTGTACCCCGTGAGGCGCAGTGGCACTTGGTCCGCTTCTCTTCAACACCTACCTTTGGACTCCAAAGTGTGGGGAGACGCATGGTTTGGTTGGTGCACTAGATCGGAGTATGAAAGACAAACTGGTGCGATATTTCAGCTTTTTCCTACCGGGACACAAAACAAAATACGAACTCGTTTTGAGGGAATTTTTTGAGGGTGGCTGTACGCACGATTCAAGCAGCTGATTCAGCTTTGGACACTCAATGAGTCGCGTTTTCTGTTTGCATTTTATCACCAACAGCCAAGCGAGTTTCAGGTCTGCATGGGCCATATTTAAGGTAAGTGATGCATAGTAATTTTATCATCTGAAAGTGAAAGTTGAATATTCTATGTCCTCAAATGATTTGCTTAAAGGGCACAAAAACCCCAATTAAGAAATTGTTGTTTAATTAGCATATCAGCGGGAACATAAATGTATCATACAGCACGTTTACACATACTTGTCAGGACTTTCGCATAGCATGTTTAAGGCCAGTATTTATCCACGCGTATCTCTTTAGGTTTACTGCAGACTCAACATGCCATTAGACGGAGTCACGTAAGCTTTGGGGATTGCCATCTGGCCAACTCACACCATTATTTAGGCTATCGGTGCCAACACGCTTTGGTGCGTGCTTTAAGCAGCGCATTTTTGTAAGAGGCGCACCCTCCGTGCCTCATTACGAGCAGCCTGACTGATAGTACAACATCATGAATGTATTATTTTATAATCCCAGTGGGTCTGGACGACTGTGAAGACTACACATGTGCAAGGGTTAAAGCCGATGCTTTTAATATTAAAAACGGTACTTTTACGCACGAATTTACGCATACATTTCTCAAGGATTTTTCGGTTTTAATTTTGTTTTTCTGGGCATCTTTACTTTATAGGGTCATTTTTCACTGTGATTAATATATGAGGAATTTGAGCCGTTTACTATGATGTTTATATTTACAGCCAACACTTCTTTGAGACGGAGACAAAGTGAGGATCAAATCAGCCTCTTGAGATGATGACATACAGTTATTAATACAGAATGAGTCAGGGGTGGCTAAACTCTTTCACACACTGCTGACTTCATTTTAAACAAGGGCTGGCCTACATTACATTGGAAGTGTGCTCATCTCATTAATATAATTTTAATTCTTAATTGTTACATTTTTTTTAATGATCAGTTTAGTTTAATCCCCATATTCCAAATCAAATCAAATATCCTCTTCTGTTTGCAGCTTTCCTTATCGGAACTGAGTCTAAGATGAAGTTATGGGATGTTTTGGCCACGTGTTTGTTGCTCCTGAGCTCTGTTGCTACACGGCCTCTCTACCGACACACATACCCAGCCAAGAGGACTTATTTCCCCAGCAGCTACAGTGATCCTGTTCCCTTGTCCGCGGAGGAGGAAGAGCCTACGTTCCAGGGTGAAGACCACAACCTGCAGGAGATCTCTATGGAGGATCAATGTAAGGCACACAGCGTTATTTAACAAAACAACTTGTCACTTATGCTGCTTGTAAAACAAATCTCTTACCCAACATGCATCTAACCAATTAATCACATGGGAAAAAGTGAGATTCAACATGTTTTAATCTTTAATTAACTGTGATATGTGAACTGGGATGAAAGGTGTGCAGTTCATTTAGCTCAAGGGCAACTCTGGCTTGAATGTTTAGATATTAAGCTCTTCTTCACTTATCACACTTGACAAACAGCACGTATAGTGATAGCCGATGGATTGAGCCAACAGAGAAGAGGCCTACCTTGATAAGCTCTTCAGACAAGCTGGTTATCAGGCGGAAGATCTTAATTTGTGTTTTATGGCTGCTGTGTGTTACATCATGCTGATGTCAAAACAAGCCAGCAGCAGGGGAAAAGGCATTGACAGCTCTATACCCCCCCCCCCTCCCCCACCCCTCCAGACTCCCTTGTTTATGTTCACCCCTGCCTCTCTGTGACACAATGACCTATGACCTCTACCCGTCTGCCAAAAGTCAGAAATCATGGCGTGTCTCTGAGAAAACGAGTTTGAACCAGGTCACAAGAAGTTCCAGGGGCAGACAGAGATGCTGGCAAGGGCCCGGAAAGTTTGAAGCACCAAGCGAGAGTTCTGTGTTTATGTTCCTTTTAACAGTGACAGTGGGCAGGAATTTATTTTGTTTGGATCAACGTGACACTGTATCATCTTCACACCGAAGGAGTCGCAGCCAAGAACTAGATAAGGAATGGAACATTTGGACGAATGTTTGTGCTGCCACCTCATATTCAGTTTGGACCAAGTTGACATCACTGATCTGCTTTGTAACCTGAGACCATTAACTATGCACTAATAGTGTAAAAAAGACACCGCAGTACCGAGAGAGGAGGGATATTTAGGTTTGAGCATAATCACAAAGAAACACTTGCTTTTTTTTTAACATTTCAAACTGAAGTATTCAGTTATCAAACGCACATGGAGACTGATATTTTAGTGAGGAAATATCTGGAAGAAAACGAATGCTATTTGTTGCATTTAGTGATTTTTAAGACTTCATTTACTGAAATTACACCCATGAAAGGTTTAAATGACGGATATAAAACCTCTCCATTGATGGTGCGCCCACCGTATCTACTGAAACCATGACTGTGTGAAAGCCAATCATCTTAAACACGTCGGTTAAACTACAATTTGCAGTCATTAGCTTCAAAAGGAGACTTATATTTCAGCAAAATATCATCTTAAAGAAAACCAATGTAGGCTATATTTTTTTAAGCATTTAGTGAGTTTTCTCTGTCCAAAGCTGCTTGTGGGTTGGTGATTATTTTTAAACAAAAACATGTCTCTTTAGTCGTATCATTAAGGCACAATTTGAATCCTTTTTCAACCAGCCCTCTAGTCTGTCAGCAGCTGCACACTGTATCCACCCTTCCTGTCAGCAGACATACAATAGAAGGTGTCCAAATCAAAGGGCAGGTGTGTCTAAACAGATTGGCCCGGGCTCACCTGATACACGAACCGCGGCCCAATCAGCTGGAGAGTGCAGGCAGATCAGATAGCAAGAAGAACAGGTAAAAGATGATAGAGATAGGTGACACCGCAATAGAGAAGCCGTGTTAACCACAAGGCCACCTGCCAGACATCACACTCTGCCGTACTGTATTCTTGACACACACACACACGACTGAGGCACACATCCAACCTCACGTACGCAGAGTTACGCAGGTAATGGGGATTAGAGGCGAACTAATTGATTCATTTCAGAACAATATGTCTTCATGATTCAGTCCAGCGTTTCCAGACCTGCGGGTGTAGAAGTGGGAAGGACGTTGCTCCGTAATAGAATCAACATGTAACACAGGAGGGTCCAAGGTTTTCAGTCAGTCCTCGTTGCTCCTCACTGCAGATGGTGCAGGGCTGTGCTGGTGCATGTTTTCAGTTTCAAGCAGACTTCAATCCGCAATGTCTAAATGACTCAGAGCATATGATTTCCATTTATTTGGCCTTTGAAGTCTTAGAGGTCTAAAATTACAGCCGTGAAAGGTTTAAATGACTGAAAAACAACCTCCCTAATGGTGGTGTAATTGGTCTTCGCCTACTGTATCAATACAGGCAATAGGTGTGTGAAAGCGAGGCTGGTTATTAAAGCTGTACAGCCCGAAACGTCCTTTAACATCTCAGGTTCCAAGATGATTGGAACTTTATGGAGGCACTATGCTTTCAATAAAAAAAGAAAATCAAGTCTTCCGGCATCCCATCATTAAGGAGGAACACACTTTTCTTCTTCCTCTTTTGATGACAAAATTCTCAAAATGGAATGGACAACACCCTCTGACCTTCAACCTCCATCTCATCCCCCAACAGCCATCATGGAAGGAGTTAGAGCGGGGCACCTGCACATCCATATGAGCAACTCTGGACCGCTTTATGCATTCCTCCAGCCGGGACTAATCTATAAATCAGCATGCACCATTTCTCATCTGCACGTTTGTCAGTATTTATGGACATTGTCTGTGTTTGTGTCAGCATGAGAACATGTGCTGCTGGCTGACTATGAAAGTATACGTCAACAACATAGTACACCGCTCTTTTGTTGAAAATTTGTGTCGCAGATCTGGGTTACATTTTTGAATTTTATTGGTCCTACTGCACTTATTTAAATCTGCATGTTATTGACATGTTTGAATTTCCGCAGTCAAAGAAATCGTTTAGAACAGTGGTTCTTAACCTTTTTTCCTTGGAGCCCCGGTATTGTAACTTGGAAAAGCAAAGGCTTGTGGTTCCTCCCCATTTCCAGTCTTTGTGCTAATCAAAGCTAACTGTATACTTTATATTTAACAGACGGTCATGAGTGGTAAGGCGTTTTTTTTTTTTTAAATCTCTCTGTAAGAAAGCAACAAAAAAAACACATTTCCTGAAATGTCATCTTTTGTTCAGATAAAATGTTATTTTCACATTACATGAATGGTTTTGAACTTGATCATAAAGATAATTTATCACTTAAATGTTTTTGGTTTTTGGTTGTGCAATGTTTCCACACCAGTCATTAAGTTTTATTATGTTGGATTTGTTTGTTTCACAGAGATATTTAAAGTTTTATTTATTTGCCTTTTACATTCTTACACGACATGAAACCATTGATTAGCACATCATTGGAGTCACCTTTGAAAATACTTTTCATTAGTGTCCATATCTGAGTTAAAATTATGGTTTGAATAAGTAATTGAATCTGTTTTGTCTGTTTTTTTTTTTTTTTCAGATGACATCTCAGGTCCCTATCCAGAGCAGTTTGATGATGTAATGGATTTCATCGAGGCTACTATTGGCAGACTCCGAAGATCATCAGATTCCAGAGAGGGCTCCAGGGGACGGAGGGAGCAGAGACAGAGGGGAGCAGCAAACTCAGGAGGCACGAGAGGACAAGGGAGAGGACATGGGGACAGGAGGCGAGGTCGCGGGCGGGGGGGGAGTCGAGGCAATAAAGGAGGACGGAGCGAGAGGGGAAGGGAGAGTATATCGGTGCAAACTCGAGGCTGCTTGCTGAAGGAGGTTCACCTCAACGTGACAGACTTGGGGCTTGGCTACCAGACTAAAGAGGAGCTGATCTTCCGGTACTGCAGTGGCCCCTGTGCCGAAGCAGAGACAAACTATGACAAAATCCTCAACAACCTCACACACAACAAGAAGCTGAACAAGGACACGCCCTCGCGCACCTGCTGTCGACCGATTGCTTTCGACGATGACTTATCTTTCTTGGACGACAATGTTGTGTATCACACGTTGAAGAAGCATTCTGCCAGGAAGTGTGGCTGTGTCTGAGGGAGGCACATGGATGTAATCAAATGACAGACATGACCAGCATCAGTAAACTAAGGATCACCTTTACAATCTGATTTTGCAAAAGGCAGAAATCTCTGTCTTCAATGGGCATCAAAGTTCAAAAACTGAGTGAGTTGTCTCTATTTGGCTACTAAAGGAACCTAATGCTGTACATCTACTTTTGACTCAGCTCAGTACTGCAGATTGCAATCAGACAAATGCAGAAATGTACGAGGTGTGCGGAAGATTTTGCAGAAGAAACTATTGTTGTACTTCCAGATCTGCTAAAAAGGTGAATGAAGAAAATTGACAAAGTTGGGCTTGTTTGTCTACAAGGGGTCCTTTTCCCAGGCACATCTGTTTTTCCATCGTGTGCTCCTATGACTCCAAACCAGAGATTCGAGGAGTATTTTCAGCTGCCATCTAAATCACTTCCACTGCATTGTCTGGATGTCGAGATAAACATTTAGAGCCAAGGGATGACTGAAAAAAAAAACACACCGGAGCTCAGCAAAGACTTTAGGTGCAATGCATCTAAACAAAACCCGATCATATATATATATATATGTTTATATACATAGAAAATATAGACATACACATGTGTGTAAGAGGTATATTTATTAAGATTGAATTAACTTATTGTTATTTATTTTGATCAATTTTATGAAAGAAACAGTTGTTTTTCTTATTTATTTCAAGCTTTGTCTGTCCAGGATGGTGCCAAAGTGGGGCATTTTCTCAAGCGTAGTCTGAAAAGTTGACCCAGAACTGTAAAACACTCACCCACGCATCCTGATACTGCTTTCTTGCTTCACGAAGATTCCAGGGTTTCTAGGTTTCATCAGTCCAACAGATTAGCGTTAGCTACCAAGTAAAGGGAGGTTTCGGGAGAGACACAGAGAAGGGGACCAATGTGGACCCCCAGGAAGAATAGCTGCAGGGGATCCTAATATACAAACCAAGCTTTCTTTTGACTGAATTGATGTGTTGTTTATGAGCAGTTTTGACGGACAGATTGCTGGATTTCATTATCAGACGTTTCACCTCATTTTAGCAAGTTTGACCACCCTAAGACAGGGGGCTGCAGACTGCGCTCTCCTCACAGCACCTGGATGTAGACTTCTCATGAAACATTGTAAATATGTATGTTCACCAGAAGACTCATCGCTGCTTTCCATTTTCGGACTGTTTTCAAATTCTTTCAAAAACTTTGTCCAGAACAGATTTATTGTCTATCACATCTTTAATTAAAATGAACATGAGTAAGGTGGCGGTCTCCCTCAGGACCTGCAGGTGCCTTTGAGGATCCATCTTTTAAGTCACAGAGAACAGAAGCTGCGAGAATGCCCGCCTACTAGCATTACGTTATCCGAAACCTCAATCTGGCCTTGCACCAAGTCTGAGCAAAGGCTTTGTAGCGGTTACCGTCCCAATAGGCTTTAAAGTTCACGGGACTGCATGTTTTCTGTCTCGACTCTGACAGACAGGTCTTACTCCCTGAAAGGGGATTTGAAAGTGATCCTCTAACATGAGTCCAAACCAAATATCCCCGTGGGCAAAGGCATTTTGGTGGAGGCAGTTTAAGGAAGATCTAGCTACTGTAGCGGCTGTCATCACTATTCGTTTGTAAATATCTGAAAACGATGCGTTACAACAAAGGGAATTGTTTGGAATAACAGACAGAAGCGACTAGGTAGGCTCAACATGCTCTCCTCGTGTAATAACTTGCTCAGCCAAGAATATTCCCAAATTTTACAACAATATACATCCAGGAAAACAGAAAGCTCTTTAAAAGCATGTTGCTGTGCCCATTGATACCCTGTGCATTGAGCTTTTTAAGTGGAACAAAGAGAGCCCTCGGGTAGGTCTTGATGTTAGCACGGATTAGGGACCAAGGTATCTGTGCCCACCCAGCAGCAAGCAAGCCAGCTTTACTGTGTAATCCCCCTACACACAGGACAAATCCACTGCATAAAGCTGAATTTAGGCCAAACAGTACACAGACAGGGGGAAAAAACTTGCTTTTATCAAGGCATACCTCATCAATTGGATCATCTTCCCCTTTAACAACTGATTTGTGCGTAAGCCCTTCCAGATGACAATGTGCCGTTAGGAGATTTCCCAGAAGCCTCGAAGGGCCTCGCTACCCTCCAATACCGTACCATACATTAATGTATGTTAACTGTGACCACCAGCCCGCTGCTCTTTATCAACGTTTGCTCTTTTCTCTGTTTGTTCTCATTTGAGAAGTCCTCTGGTTTTCATGAAAAAGGTATCAAACAAAAGGTCCAGATGCAAAAGAATCCTCAGTGTTACCATTTGAAGAAAGGATTGGAGTCGTTTTCACTCCTCATTGTGTTCACACCTCTGTGAAAAACCTGTCATTTCGTCTCACTTGTTTCGTGTTTCAGAACCAAAGCTCTAGGCAAACTTTATTTTTGTACAATATTCATTTTATAACTTTTTAAAAAATTAAACTTGTTTCTATCAAATGAGCTTGACTCCTGGTGTTTTCCCCATGTACGACAATGCACCCAGTGCCAGATGGTGCTAATTTGCCCTGGATATGTTTACACAAGCATCATGTAGAATAAGGGATGAAAAATTGGGTTAAATGGAGAATTGTGAGGACGGTTTGAGGGATGGTCCTCTATAGTGCATCGTCCCCTCCTGTTCTGCATTCCTGAACACTAGCCGAGGGTCTACAGTAAACAAAGCTAACCGTAAAGAGCCACTGACCTATAAGCAAAGCGCTCAAGAATGTTTCCACTGTGCAAAGAAGATATGTAAATGCTGCTGCAGACAGTGTGTCATTAAGCAGGAGCTTAAGGTGTGTTTACAATGTATAGTTGATGTCTTCTGGGAAAATTCCACGTCATGGTCCATTTCTTGTTTTACTAAGTCACAAGAGTTTAAATATTATAATGCCATATTTCTGCAGCCCAGAGGTCCAATAATGACAGCTGCTCTTATCACTAATTTGATATTTTAAATGTATGGACAATGGATTACATAACCAAGAAAAGGGGGCCCCTGAAAGTAACAAACTCCTAGGTGACGATAACCCTCTGCAGCCTTTGTTAGCTCTATGGGGCATTTTAGCATCTTTCAGATGATTGTTTTGGTTTACAATACACAAGCCTTATTGTAAAAGGGAATAAATATGGGGTCAGAAAACACAGAATCCAATTGAACGCTGAAGTTCTGAACTGCTGAAAATGTGCGTGTTCAAACCCCAACTAACTGGGACAGGGCGTCACAGACAGAAAGGGAGGTAAGACAATGTAGAAAGAACTCTTTATTGTCAGAAAATGAGATGAAAAGGTCAAAACCAGGAAGAAAATATGAATTATCACAGAGATTGTTATGTAAGACAAGAGTCCAGATCTTATGTTTATGTTTTCAAGTTGAATTTGATTTTATGCCTGTATTTAATCTTTGGGTCTAAACTATTTTTTGACTACTACTTGGATAAGAAGTTGTTTGAATGAAAACACAAAGTTTTCCTTGGGACTGCTTTCTGTGGAAATGTGTTTGAATGGCAGCATGAGGTCTGTGGGTGTTCTCATTAACTGGGAAATTGTATCTTGGAAGAAAATTGGAGTTTATACTTTGTTAATGCTTTGAGCAGCCCATAAAGTAGCGTTATGGAAAGGAAAAGATAGACGCCACTAGAGGAACTGTAAGAATGTTACAAAGCTTCTGCCCTCCACATGCCAACTGGTTGAGGAAAGGGTGGTGCAGTGACAGTTTAATCAAACAGCAGTCACTCTTCCCCTGCTGCTGCTGGCTAAAAACGCCTCTCCTCCAGCAGAGCTTGACGTCAGCCTCGCAAACATGAGGCCGATCTCCCCTTAAAAACAGCACTCACTGGTTTAATCCCTCTATTTTTCTTGTCCTGGGATTTTTTGTCTCATATTTATGACCACAGGACTCTTGCCAGGACACAGAGACATACGATTGTCTGCTTGTAACTGTGATTGGCTCAGGATTTGAGATTGCTCTGCAGTTCAGTCATTGTGAGTCACTGAGGAGAAACACCAGTTAGATGATAGCTATGGAGTAAAAAGACTTTCCATGCCTTAACAATGTTAGGTTGCTGAGTAAATGAAGGAGGAACAGATGCAACAGTGCCATAAAACATGTGTCGCAATGCATGTAGACATTCTGTTTAAAGTTATTTTTTGGGGTCTTTATGGCTTTATTGGAAAGGACAGCTGACGAGAGACAGGAAATGTTGGCAGGAGAGAGTAGGGGATGACACGCAGCCAAGGGTCGGATTCGAACCCACAGCCGCTGTAACGGAGTTAGCCTCTGTACCCCATGCTCCCTGCATGTAGACATTCTTAATTTAAACAGAATGTACGACACACCTCAAGTTTCTGTTGTTACAAACTAGTTGTCCATAAAAAGCCAAATAAGTCGCTTTAGTGTGATGTTCGATGATGAGGTTTCAATATGTACAAAGAACCTAATAATGGCTTTCATAAGATCAGTATGGTTAACTGTGGGCTAAAATACCCGTTAGACACTGTCCAGGTCATTTAACACACAAAGGAAAGAAAATCTGTAAAAGGTTCTATGAATACTCTGCACTGTTTTGTCTTTTTACTGCAACACATAAATACGCATCAAAGATAAGCAAACAGTGTCCATACCTTCATTGGCTCTTTAATTTCAAGCATTTGAACAGTTCAAACATCTGACAATGTGACCTAATTTTGGTACTTGGGACCAAAGACATGGACAAGTGGAAGTTCATTATTCACCTTTAGAATAGTTCCATGAGAAAATCAAGGCTGTAAAGGCTCAAATAAACCCGTTTGTTTTTAGGATTAGTCAGAAGAACGTTTTAATTTAGCATTGATTAACTTCAACAGCTGCAGTATAGTGTGATATAAAAATGTGTGTGTGTGGGGGGGATGGGAGAGAGAGAGAGAGAGAGAGAGAGAGAGAGAGAGAGAGAGAGAGAGAGAGAGAGAGACTGTCTTTAAAGCACTAGTGTGGTTTAGGTTTGTGTTGACTGTGGCGACCCCTGTAAAGTGGCGTCTCTCATCTCTATGCTGATATTTCCTGTATGTGTGTGAGTGGTGTTTATTTTTTTTTTTCAAAGATAAATCTCATCCTGTTTTCTTCTTTGCTTTAACAGTCAAATGTACTTCTGCATGTTGTAAACCCCCCCCTCACCTCACCCCAACCCACATGGCAGATGTGACAGTCATCAAAATAACTAAATAGAAACAGTCATTCTTCTCGTTGATGGTCTCATTAGCTGCTGAAGTGGATATAAAGGCATCAGGATGAATTTCAGTCTGTTTATTAAACAGTTAAAGTCTCCTTACAGTAGATTTAAAGCAGGGACTTTAAATAAGAGTTTTGGAAAGGACTCTGTGTTTCTGCAGGGTTGAGCCAGCGCCTCAAAAAAAAAAGAAGGAATTTGACAAAGGAATTTCTTTGATCAGCTGGTAAAATCTATAACAGTGGATGAAATGTCACCATTTTACGAGAGAATACAAATTCCTTTATTCAGGTTGTTGAGGTTAAAGACAGATTGCAGAAAAAAAAATACTTTGAATTAGCAGTTGGCTGAAAGAAGTTTTGTGTATCACATCCAACAAATTGCAGTCCTGAAAATTGCAACCCTCTTTTGTATATGTCTTTACAATGTACTTCTTACAAACTAGTAAACTGTTCTCCATAGCTGATGAACAGAACCAGACCACAAAATCTGGAGCTGATTTAGGAGGAATTAGCAAAGTGGAGGGCTGTGGGAGGAGAGGACAATAGAAATGATGAAAGTAAAGTACGTATAATCCAAACAGACGTAAAAAGCCAAGTTCTTTTAGTGGTTGATGAATTGCAATGAGAAAACATAAACCTGTATAAAATTATATTAGGCCTGCTTTGTAGAACTGCCCGTGCTACCCACGAAATACAGAAGCATGCACATAAAAACACTGGAGCTAAAAACACACCGGAGATGGGAGGACAGGTTTGTACTATTTAGTAATTTAATTGATGCTTGTCTGCACAGTTTGTGACAGTAACTCAGTACTCTGGGACGGATCCTGAGAACTTGTGGTTATGAGTTTTTTTTTTTTTTTTAATCCAACCACAGGCCCACCATGTCAGCGATACTTAAAAAAAAAAAAAAAAAAAAAACTGCTGTTGAAGCACCTCAGATCTTGCGTTTCTTCCACTCTGGTTCCTTTTCCGCCTCCTCGTCTTCCTCCGATTCCTCTGCAAACACAGGCTCTGGCTGGGTGCTGGAAAGAATCACAGAAAGGAGTTTAAGTCCAACAGATCTTTTTTTTTTTTTTTTTTAATTCAGACAAATCCAGCAAAGCAAAGAACTGCAAATTAAAGAGAAAAACTGAGAAGACAGCTGTGATGACAACTGGGCTTTAAGAAGTTTAATATTGTAGTAAAAGTGCTAAGGACTAATTGTTTTTTTCTAAAGTACTGATCCTTATTAGATGTGATAGTTACCTGGAGCACAAAACTTGTAGACCTGTAGACCTGCATGTACCGGGCAGCTCCCACAGAGAAATAATTTGATGTTTAATGTAACTCCCTGCAAAGCGGAGAGAGCTGTGATGGTGACTATAATGCGCTCCTGGAGTTCTACACCTACGCCTAAAATGGTGCAGTTTATCAGATTAATTTGCTGTAATGTATATCAATAGAGTGTTACAAATAGTTTTCCGTCCTGTGTAATGAAAAGCAGACTGCTTGAATTGGCACGCGGCGCTTACAGAGCTGTCTGAGTCTGATAGCCTCTCTAAAGCTGTCCATTACTTACTCTGCTTCCTGCAGTTTAAAGAGTGTAAAACTCTTTAAAAATGCATGTGTCACACGAGGATGACGAAACCCAAGCACCATCAATATAACCTGATTAGCACTCCGTATGCTCGTCTTACACTCTGTGCTAATGAGAGGAGATGAGCGAGTGAGGAATAAATGAGAGACTGCAGAGAGGCTGTAAATGATTCATGTTATTCAAAGTGAAGATATGAGCGGTTCTTACTGCGTGTAAGCTGGGGCAACCCAGTATGGGTTATCAGAAGCTTCCTTGGCGTGGCGTAGGATGGCCGCTCGTGGGTTACTGTCGTCTGTTTTGTCCAAAGCGATGTTCTTCACGATGAATGAAGACAGGGTGCCACCGTGAGCCGCTACTCTTCCTCCACGACCTGTCAGGACACATGATGACTGGATTAGACACAGTTAAGACTTGAACAAATAAAGAGCAAGCCTTTAAAGCTGAAGAACAGAGATGCTCTCATATTTAAAATATTAAACATAACACTGTGTATGAAAACACTAACAGAGATTAATATCATTTTTTAAAGTGTGTGAATTGTATTTTGAAAGTTACTTATCGAAATCTGCTGAATGTAATATGTGTAAACTCTGAAAGTTTGACAGATCATTTAAATATTGCATAAAGTCGGTCCACCATGTGCTAGTCAATGTTTCTGTCATTAACTCCTTCTGCTTTGTTCTAAAGATAGCGGCATCACTTGGCATCAAAGATAAGCAAACAGATGTTTAAACAGTTATGTGAACCGTTTTTTCTAAAATCTAGAAATGTATGAGAATTGTTGATTAATCCCTCATCAATACGTGCGTGACCTGATCACGGATTAGGTTCTATATTTAAACTGTCAAGAAATAAGATTTAAAATGATAAATGATTTTATTATTTTAGATTTCTCTTTTTGAGACTGGTTGAAGAAACCAGATATAACCTGTTGATCAGTGGCGGTTACAGGATTTGTTTGGTTTATTGTTAAACTTTGGAGAGACTCAGGCTGAGATTTGAAATATTTATGCTAATGCTAATGCTAACACTCAGCCGTAAAGCAAATAAGCAATGTTTGGAAACATATCCATTAAATACACCACTCACTGTTATTTAGAACAAAAACTTTTTTTAACAATGCAGCATTGAAATGCTTATTCTTATTTCAGCACTAGTGGGATGCACTGTTTTTAACCATTGTTCTTATAAATTCTAAAACAGCCAATTCTAAGAGGAGATGTCACTTTCTTTTTCTTACTTTAGTGTAGCTACATGAATGCTACACTGGTGTGTGCTGTGGTTACACTACTTCATGTTGGCTGTATTGACCTGCACTTAATGGAGCTTTTGGAGAAAAACACTTCCTGCTTTCCAGAGACGACATTATTCGCTTGTCTTAAAAGATCAAGGCTTAAGATTTGTGCAAAACACACAACCTCACATACGTTCCCCAAACATGAAGGGATTTCCTGCTGCAGTCGTGAGCTTGGAGGTTGTTTAGGAGATGGAGAGGCACCTCTTTCCATTGCTTGTAAGCATTGAGCCAACCACCAAACATCACCTTGCACTTATGCAAAGACATTCTACTCGGAGGATAAACAATATAAAGACAGCCTGTCATCTAAAAACCACTGAGCTGCTGTCAAGTAGTCAAACTTCTTTTCATAAAGTACAGCTTCATGTTCATTTGCAGACTATTTTCTGTCTTTGCTGAAGCTCTACACGTTTCATGTTTTCTTGCTTTTATATAACATTTTGAAAACTGCCTGGCGGTTGTAACGTATCCTGGTTCATGATGTCTTTGTATTTATTAAGTCTCTTTTATGTAAGGGACAGTTTTGCCTTTTCTTACACAATCTTTACCAGTCAAATGAAACAAAGAAACACTGATAAAAAGAAACACTTTTCAGGGCTCCGGTGGCCTAGTGGTTAGTTTGTGAACCCCATGTACAGAGGCTACAGTCCTCATTACAGGTGGCCTGGGTTCCAATCTGCATGTCATTCCCCACTCTATCCACTGTCCTGTCTCTACAATAAAGGCATAAAAAAAAAACCAAAAAACAAATCTTTCAAATAAACATATTTTGGTTCCTGCACGTCTAAATGCATGAAACCTATCTACATTACATTTTGGAACAAAAGGTCGATAGATCCTCATTAAGGTCCAAAAATAAGTTTGAAGTTAATGGTTATTTCTAAGCTGTTAAAGACATGAGGCAACAGCATTAAACAATGAATCTTTGAGAGGCTGAGCTGTAGCAGTACTGTTTTAGCACATGAATTCAGATGGATTGCACAATACCAAAAACATCAACATCTGTGGATTTGTGTAACTGCTGCAAACAGAATCATGTATTCACCCAGCTAAGAACAGGACTAATGAGACTGCTGTAGCTATACTTAGAGAACAGTATTTATTTGATTTTATTTTATTCATTAGTTGTTATAATTTGCCTCGTCCCTCAGGAACCCGGTTGGTTCACTTGTTACTTTTTTTCTCCTCTTTCCTCTTCATCTGTTCCATTAGGGCAATGTTTGTGCCTTATATACAGTAAGTAAGAGAATGTACCTGGTCCAGACACAGGGGGTTCTGGTTTGTGAGATTTCTTTGGGTCCAGTCTGTCCTTCTCCAGCTGTTTCCGTGTACTCCGCTGCCGGGCCTCTCTGAACATGGGCAATGCATGAGCTGGAGACACAAAGGGCAAACAAGGATAATCAAGTTGCTTTGGTAACGCACAAATAAGCAGACCAAGCAATATGTTTGTGTTTTTGGGCATTTTCACTGTTCTGCTCTGCTACAAGTCGAGAGCTGAGGTTTTGCAGAGTTTTCATACAATAAAAGTCATCACCTACTGCTTCACCTCACTGCATTGACGCTGAAATACATGAACCTGCTGACCTCAGGCAGCATCACTCCTCCTGTATACTTACCTGGCATAGGACACACCAACATCTTCATTATATGCCCTGTGTTTACATTTAGACTATCTCTCCGCTACTCTTCACACTTTTGTGAACTCCATCACAATAAAGGCCCGCAGCACTTAAATCCACAAGTGTGTGAACATGTGCAAGAGTAACAGTGACTGAGTGCCCTTGAATGTGTGCGAGAAAGTGTGTGTGTGCTCTGCTCTTCTCCTCAGGGCTTTCAGAGACACTTTAGTAAAGGTTTAGATAAAGTGATTTTCCATTCAGGAGCACTGTTGCTGTTCACTGTTAATTCTTCTTCCTCCACGCTACATTAAGCAAAAAGGTTACCGTTAACAGATTCCCTCGCTTTTCTCAATGGGCCGTCACTCGCTTCCTGTCCGCTCTAATTTTCCAGCGCCAGAGCATCAAATGCGTCACTCTCCGCTCGTGGCAGTCTAACGCCTGCCTACTTCACACCTTGTTGGCATAGCAGAGAAATCACATGATGCATCAGTAGCCTAAACAATAAATTGAGTCTGAATTGGGCCCTTGTAGCCAATCAGAGACGACGTATCGCCAGCTGCTCCGCTTGTCCAGGTTCATGACTTCAGGAGTGAGAAGCACGCAGAGAAGAGGTGACTGCCCCGTGTTTCGGAGGTAAGAGAGGATGACAGGATGTTGGGTGGTGAGTGTGTGTGTTCGTGTGCATGGTGTGGACCAGCAGGAGGAGATCACGCCAGCAGAGTGGAAAAGGCGGCTGTCCTTAGCGTGATCTGGTGTGGCTGGGAAACACATGGCCACTGCATGGCTCATGGCCCTGAGGCTGCTGATCTACTCACCCACACCCTACTTCATCAGCTAATAGACCTGTTAAAAACCCTGCATAACTCTGACTGCTGCCAAAGTCTCTGGTATGAAATAGTGTGTTTGGATTTTTTCTTTGTGTGTGAGAATCGAGCAAGAGGTAGCATGCACAGTGACTCAAGCGGGATTATAGAGGAGATAAGTACTTCACTTTAATAGCTTCTGTTTAATGATTAAAGGTGATTTGTGCTCCATGCAGGACAAGGCATGGCTGCAGCAAATAAAGTAACAAACTGTTTCAGAGGTTCATCGTCTTATTCTAAGAAGGAATAGAAGAAAACTTACGTGTGATGATGTAATCTTGTGTCAGCGTCTCTGCTTGTCTCTCCTTCCTCTGGCTCTTCACTACACACAGCTTTGCCCCCCTGGAAAAGAGTCAGTAGTTTACAAATACTGCTTTTTACAGTTAAAGACTAAAAGATGAAGGCTGAGGCCACCCTCAGTATAGTAGAGACTACTGGCTCAAACATTTGGGTCAATTTTTCTTTTTTCTACCTGTTGAATTCTTCTTTAGACGTCATGCTAACATCTAAGCTACTTTGAAAAGCATTTTCTACACTTACTGTGAAAAAATTGCACTAAGTATGTATGTTTTTTTTTGTTCTATTGATAATTAGAGTTCTGCAGTTTTGAGGGAAAGAGGGGTTGTGATTGGTAGGATCTTTTTTGTTGTAGATTTCAGCCTCTTCAGGATGATCGTTGTCTGTAAAAAGGTTTAAATAAAGATTTTTCCCTTCAAAACAAAATCACCAAACATACCTGTGGCTTTTAACCGGGTCATAGTACACCTTGGCCAGTCCATTTCCAGTCCCCACCATAATCTGGTTTAGTTTTGGGTGCCACAGGCAGCGGACTACGCTCTGCAAAACACAGACAGACAAAAAACCAAAATACATAAATGTTCTGTGTACAGTAGGCTGGGATGAAGCATGTGAGGAAATGAGCTCATCCTTTTAAAAACATCAGCCCACAGCACGCAGTGAACACCCTGCAGAGATGTTTCTGTTATATCTTGTTGTCAGAGGTATTGCGAGTGTGTATCTTAGGTTGGTTGTGGTACAGTGGAGATCAGTCCCAGCGTGCACTGCTGCTCTAGTTGACTATATTTGGTTGTTGGGATGAGGGCTGGATCCCTCAGTCTTTGTGTGACAGATGGCCCAGTGCCAATAGGCGAATGTGACCACATTTATTCAGAGTGTGTGTGTGTGTGTGTGTGTGTGTTGGAGATAGAGACACTAAAAAAGGGGCAGAGAGAGAAATACACACACAGTAGTGGGACAGTGATGAGGGCCTTGTGTTTATCCTGATATGTAAGCTCGAGTAGAGAGCCAGACTCCCTGCAGTAGTGCTTCATCTCTTTTCACACATTATTAGAGCATCACAAACTTCTTGGATGACTTGTGCTTCAGATTGTCATCGTAAACAACTAGCCATGTATGTTTTGGCTGTGCATGTTCAGTAGTTGTTCAGATTTTTTTTAAAGCAGAAATCTGTTGGGGTTTTTTTTTTATTTTTTATGTGGAGCAGAGGAGGCACTCTAGGGGGGGCAGCGGGGGTGTAGGCCATGGGGCATAGGATGGGGGGTGGGTAGGACAGCCACTGGGATGTCCAGATTCTGTGACGGTAAAAGCTGCTTAGCGCCCAGCTGTTCGGCTTCCCACCAGGATACCAGAGGAAGGAGTCTCAATCACACACACATCAGTCACACACGCACGCACGCACAACAGAGGACAGGCACGTTCGAAGAGAAGATCTCTCGCATACACGTCCACAAATAAAACGCCATCAGGGCTCATTGATGATTCGCTTGGTATTTCAATATAAAACATATACAATACAACTGGAAGACTTTTTACTGCTACTGAATGACACATTTTCCCCGGGGTACTGAAATTCGACACAAACCTCATACATGCATATCAATGCTATCAGGCCAGCAGTGCACAGGACAGATGAGGGTTAATCTGCTCAACCAGATCAAGAGCCGGCTGTAACTGATAGAAGGATCTGGAAAAGGCTTTTATCAGTATGTGCTTAACATGAGCCTTTCATATTCCATTCATATGTTGGAACACAGATGATAATGCATATAAATAATTCAGACAAGCGTTGATATGTTTGCATTGCACTGCAGGAATCCCATTTCTTATTTTAAACACCGTCCTCAGCTTTTTTTTACAGAAATACCACAACAACATGTATCTACATGTGCACATTATGAACAACTGGAGACTTCAGGCCGTAGCTGCGCTTCAGTGTAAATGTGTAATGTGTTATAAATTGCAGCGTAAGGGTTGTCAAAGCAAAGCAGACGGCCTTTGCATGCTAGCAAAGACAGAGGTGACACTTAGGAATTTGGTTACACTCAACAGGTTCATTTAAAGCTTGAGGAATTCACCCAATACTCCGCACGATTACCAAATCAGGCAGTAAAATCGAAATTAAAGTGACAACACAGCCAGGTGACTGCAGCCAAAGAAAGTTCGTAAAACAACTCTCTTCAGACCCAAACAAATCTTTCTGTCAGCGGTGAAAAAAGTCAAACAGAAAGAGCCCAACAGCCCAGTTCAGAGGGGCCCCCCGCACCAGCTGGATCCACTGAGAACCCCGAGCCAAGCACAGCTCGGTCCAGCCCAACAGTAAGGCTGCTTTCCAGATATTCAGAGCAGCGTGTTTACACTGTAGAAACCCCTGTTTAGGCTTCATGTCCACAGAATTACATCACATCAGTGAGAGGGGAACTTTAATCAGGCAGCTCTTCAGTAGCCGCTCTCTTTGTCCATCAGATTAAAATACCAACAGTTGATTAGCGTAAATAGGCAAACAGTGAATCCACCAAAATGTATACTGCTGCTGAAATATTGTTATGCAGCACTAATGGGACCCAAGAGTTACAGCTGTGTTCTTATTACGCTGCTGGTGAGTGGATCCAAATGTGCTCGGGAACGCGCAGACAAACTAAAGCAGGAGAGCTCTCGACTTCGCACCTCAGCTACACACTGAGTGGGCTCACGTCCGAGACATCTGTAATTAGTATGAACACTTTTTCTGTTGCTTCTGGCTTTCTCATCTTACAGATTTGCTTGGTATGATGCACAAGAAAGAACAAAGTTAAGGCCTCCCTTCTAGTTTTCAAGCGTGGCTGTCCTGACTGAGGATATGCATTAAAGGCCTTCTAGAGGAGCACTGGCACAGGGAGCAGCTCACTGTTTGAGAGCGATGAAGCATGAGGTGGAAGGTGTATAATAGGCAAACAGAAACTCGTGAAGGTGATCCAAAAATAGCTCTCAGCTGACATAAATCCCGCTGCATGTAGTAGGTAAGTTTTAAAAAATGTATACTTGAGATAATTGAAGGGTGTTTAGCCGCACTCCTGAAATGCAGAAGAGACAATCAGAAGTTTCAAATTGGTGCAGTCGAGCTTTAAAAAAAAACTGCTACTTCTTTGCATGCACTCCTACAGAAAGTGTATAAGGACTCCAGGTTTTAAGTTGAATTCCAGCCAAAAGCTCATTGAGTTGACAGTCGTTATGGTCTCACTTGGTTTTTGCTTCCTTTGATGCACTAAGATACACTTAAAAGAATCTCAGGTATTCGCCAAGTAGGCCAAAAGATAGCTTTCACTTCAAATTGCAAACCAGAATTCAGGTCCGAGGCTTATGTAGACAGTTTAGTCAGAGATGATTGGAGGACCTTCCTTTCACCCGCCTCCGCTTTATAAAGACTGCACTTAAATTCAGGGGGCCATCCATGGAGCAGCCGGCTGATGTAAACATAGTAAATAGAACATTCATCAGGTTCACAGAGTGCACGTCAGCTAGAAAGAACTGATCTGCTGCAACACTAAATTTAACGGCATAAAAATATATGTAGGGGGGGGGGGTCTTCACAATTAATTTCTTTAGAAGTGGTAAATGGGTTTCAATGGGTTGCTTGACCCAGAGAATTTGTGAAAAACATGATGCCAAATCTAATATAATAAAATACTATGAAAGGTTCATTCCAAAATGTAGACATCCAAATGTTTTGGTGCCTCAACCTTACCCCTAAAATGAAAAACAGTTCAGTTTTTTTGCACCACTCTTTCCGTTCAGAAAAAAAAACAACCTTAAAATATCCAGGCAGTTATATAATGTAAGTGTTAGTGATCTCAGTTATATTATAACTACCGTTGAGGACCGATGCATTTCAGGAGAGATTTAACAGTGCACTTAAAAGTCTCTCTCTCTGTTTCGATTTGGTCGCCTGCAAAACATACAGACACAGGACATGCATGCAGAATGAGGGAGGTGGATCATCCACTAATTCATTGGTCTTAGATGGGGATTGTGTGTGGATGAAAAAAGAACAATGCAAAATGGTCGTCAAATATACCTGGGCAGCACGCAAGAAAAACAAATGCACACTTCATGTTCCCCCTGGACACAGGCAATGCAATTAGGGCAGATCAAGTAACATGCATTCTATCTGGGTCCCATTGCCATGCATGTGATAACCCAGATTGATGCATAAATGGCTACTTTCATGCAAATTAAGTAATATGATGGCTAAAAAAATCCTTTATTTAATGGCTTTAATGGCATTTCCATCGGCTATGATTAAAAGATTCTGTTATTGGCATTTAAATTTTGATAGATTAATTGTACTATTTGCTCAAATCAGTGCCAAGGTGATTGGCAGCCTGTACCAGTCTCTAGACTGCATTGTTTCCGTGGCACCAGGTTTGATTTTGTAGGAAATCTGCTGGATTTGTGTAAAGCACTGAGGGTGAGCAGAGAGTTAAGAGGTCTTGCCATCTTTCAAAGTGAAAGTGAGCCGTAGCTTTTAGAGTTTCTCCCAAAGGCAGATTGGTGGAAGGAGTGAAATGAAAATGGAAAAACCACTTCCAAATGTTTACACTCTTCAGTAAAATAAAAGAAGAGCAGAGAATATGGAGGGATTTTAAAGTTGTTTACAGACTCTGACCCAAAGTGTAGAGGTCTTTCTTTGATGCTGCCCTCAGTGATATTGTCCGACAGGGAAGAGGGTGAAGCTGTTTACAAAGAATATGCAGACTCAGCAGAAAACATCATATATATATATAACTTGATAACTTAATACAACATATGATCATGGCCACTGTTCGTCTAAAATGACAGATTACTTGAATGGGGATAAGGGAACGCAATTTCATCGTTTGAGTATTCAAAATAAAAGCATTGCAGAAGTCAGAACTTAATGCATAAAGAAAATGTTAACAAGTCATGCTTTCTCATTCAGAATGTGTACACTCTACCCATTGGATGGAGCTGTGGGTATAATGGTTGTGCTTCAACACCATTTTGGTAATACAGATATAACATGGAGAACAGCATAAACATTAAAACAGTGTGATACTGTATCAAATAGGCATTCTTCACTGTTGCTATCATGCAGGCCTTATGTGGATTTAGTTTACGCAAAATTATAACTATTATCATCTTTAAGTGGCAATATATATATAATACTCAAAAGTCAAGGGGATTTTTGTCCACTAATATTTGACATGAGCTCTGCTTCTTACGGGAACAGAGGACAAGAACAGTAGCATAACCTACACAACCAGGTGTGTAGTGTAGAAGAAGAACATATCCTTTATTAATCCCTCGAGGGGGAATTCAATTTAACACGCTGCTGTCTGTCACAAATCACATTTTAACGCTTCTTTTATTTAGCCCTCACTGTGGCATGTAGGTTGAACAATCGGTGTTTCCTCCTGTGTGCATGGAAACGTGTATTCATACTGACAGTATATGACAGTTCGGCAAAGATTCATGTCGTTCGTGGCAGAACGTTGTACCGATGGCGGTATTGTTACCGGTTTACTTCCCACCCCTTGCTGTACACATTCTTTTATAGAAAATTACAACTTAAATAACTGTAAAAAGTCACATTTATAAGAGAAATTGACAAAAAGTCTGTATGTATAGATTTTTTGTGTAATATAAGTTATTGTCTGAGTTCATTTAGGTCAACCTAAAACACAGACAACCTCCCCCCCTTCTCAGTTAGTGCAACTGTGCAGCCGGGTGTGCACTTAGCTTGCAAACCTTGGCACAGCATCGCAACTAACAGCAGCTGGCTGGCAGGATGGGGGGATGCTCGGACACACAAACACAGCTTTTGTGTCTTTCTCCCCTCTCTCAAACATGTTTCACTCAGTGGCCAATGCGAGAGTGTCATGCCTTAGCTAGAGACCAAGTTAGAAGCCATTAGCCTCTGTCAGACCTCACTGTTGTGACTATAGAAACACGGTGCTTAATCTGTTGACGAAGAGAGACAGAGGAGGAGCAGAAAGCAACAACAGAAGTTTTTTTTTTCTACAGCAGACAGCACCTCTGCCCTTTATTTCAGCACCTATGGCTGCCTGCCCTCACCAAATGGATTTCTGAGAAAGCAGGATTACTATAATGTACTGTATGCTAACGTGTTTGACAGTGCCGTGCATGTGAATGGAACATGCAGATAATTTAATTTTCAAGTAGGTAAAATGCAGAACGTATAAAAGCGTCAGACGCTCCCCTGCCAAAGCTTTGTGGGAAGTACTTGCAGAAAGGAAAGGTCAAATTACTCCACTTTCTGAGCTTAACTCTTCCTCAGTATTTTTCTCCGAAACCCTGCTACTGTCAATCTTTCAACTTGGGAAAGATGGAGAAAAGATGTATTGAGTTCTGCTGCTGAGGTAGAGCACTGTACAGTTATTCAAATTAAAAAAAGTAAATGAAGGATGATTTGGCCATTTGATTGATAAAAATTGTTGTTATATTCTTCTTGCAAATTGCTCTATCTCCATTTTCTAGATCAAAATAATTCCAAACTGCGGTGCTTCTACGAGACGCCATCAAATCCACGGTGCTGGTTCATGTCCGGGTGTTAGAGCAAGGAGAGCAAGGCCCATTAACCGGAGCTACAGCGACAAGCTAGTTCCTCCAACGTTTCGGAGGAGTGACATGCCTGCCCCAGCTTTAATAAATGCATACTAAAACAAATAGACTCATTTTCTCATCCATTAAAACATTCTTGGAATCTTGGACAAATTGGAAGCTAAAAGAATCTCCACTTCCATTCTGTTGAGCTGTGATAACGAGACCTTTAGCTGCTTCTCTTTTAACCAAACACAAACATGTAGAGGCTGCAGTTGGCAAATCAACTTAGTGCATAGAGGACATGCACATTGTTTTCATTAACTTTTTATTGTTTCACAGTGGATTCCTTTTGTGCTTCTTTTCCACTGTGCATCATTTCGGATCACTTTGGTTTGTATCCCACATATTAGCTCAACCAGCTGAAAAACATCTTGCAAAAAAGAGCTGTTGTGGTTGTAAAGATCGAGGCGGAACTTACTGCGTTTGTGACCTCTATTTCATAGACCTTCTGAAAGGAAGCTCGGTCGAAGAAAACCAACTTTCCGTTTCCCTCTTCTTTCTTCACTGATGTCCCCGTTACGAGGAGTTTATCGTCTGGACTAAAGCAGCAGTCGGTCCTGATGAGGGAAATCACACACATTCAGTATCGTCAGTTAATGAGCCTTATTTTATTCATTCCACTTCATTAGAATTAAGATCTCAGTTCTTGGCTTACATCGTAAAGTAGTTGGTGAGGCCAGTAGCTACATTCACAGGCTTCCTGAAGTTGCGTATATCCCACATCTTCAGGGTGTCATCCCCTAGAACGATGGAGACATTTATTAACTGTTTGATTACAATACACAAAGTCATCACAGTGGAACAGTTATTTATTTCCCTGTAGAGCACCGTGTCGTCTTGACTTACAACAAGGCTGTTAGAGTTGTTTTTCAATTACATTAACAGAAGCATGTTAAGTGAGGCTCTTCAGAGATTTATTCTTGTTTACCACTGTGTTAGAAAACTCCTGACTAGCTCAGCCTCCAAACACAAACTCAAGTTGTTCTGTGTATAGATCACTTCAACATTATGTTCTATTGGCTGTGGCTGCGGTTATTTTGCTCAAAAAGAGAGATGTTACTTCTTCTCTTAGAAGCCTCGCTTTGAATGACGGATTAAGCATCAGACCTAAAAATGGAGGATCTGTGTGGAGCTGCTGATGAATATGGAGGACATGACTGAGGTCTTTTTTTCTTACCTCCACGTGAAGCAAGAGTCACACCATCGTAGGAAAAGGAGAGGCAGGAGGTGTCGGATCCTGGGATGTGTGCTTGTTTACAGTGAAACTTAGTGTGCACCTAAAAAGTTAAAGAAGGAAAAAAAACAATGTATTGACCAATATAGTTGAACAGGGTCTTGTATAACGTATTTATAAGTAGTGATGTGTTACACAGCTCTAGCTTCAGAACCTATAACAGAAACAACAATGTATTAACTCTGTGATTTTGAGATCAAATAAAAGATGAAATGTCGTGACATTATTCCATGTCATGAAAGAGAGTAGTCTGGAGGTCTTTAAAGCAGCAATTCCATCCTGTTTACAGTATGTTAAGTATTGGCAAGAAAAAACAATATAAGGAGCAGTTAAGATGAAATTGATTATTAATTACACAATAAAATTGCATCCCTGGCTTTCTGCCTTTTCCATAAACACAGCAGTAACTACAGCTGATCAATATTAAATAGTTTTTCTGATATAATGATATACTTCAATATGAAACTGCTAATCCTCTGTTTCAGTGGTAAAAGTTTCAGATGCTCAAGGCAGCAAAATAAAGACCTTTTCATTCTGTGTCTTCAACACATGCCGTTTCAATTTCCTCCATAAAACACCATCAAATATATTCAACTTTGAAGCCCACCACAACTTATGAAATGTCACCAACTTTACACACACTGTACCCGCCACGCTCTTAAGCAACACTCCAGACCACAGAGATTTACCTTGGCAGGCCGAGCTGCCCGTCTGGCAGGCACATCGTATTTATATTTTTCCCCTTGCTCCTACCTTAAGTATTATTCTAGTATTCCTACTGTGAACAGCGAACCAGCCAGTAGCCTTCATCAGACAGCCTGTTAACTCTGGGTGAACATTGCTTTTGGTTTTTCATTCTTATAAACTATACTCAAACCAGTATTAGGTCACAGAGGTCAGCCAGTAACAACAACTGTTTTAAAGTGTCAAATGAAACTTCAAACCACCACAAAAAAACAAATAAGAAAACAGCTTTTTAACAGCACATGTGCAAGAAGACTATGAGTCAGCAGCGGTTTGGAGTCGTTGAGATCATTAACTGTTTAGACAAAGTCTTAAAGTCCTCTCTCTAAATGAATGGACAAGGGACTCCACTATTTACATATTAAAGTAAGGTTAATAGTCATCATGGGTAGTATAAAAGTATAAAAACCTGTTCAAGTTTGATAAAGTCTTCTGTGGGTTTTCTGTGGCTCGTCAGGCCTGAGATGGTTATCTATTAACCTCGATGATAACAAGGTAGGTAAGGTCTGAAGAAAGATTACCAAGTTCAATTAAAGTTAATCTGAAACTTAGAAAGCTGATCTGCCACTTCAGTTCAAAACAAATTATTATACTTCCTAGTACTTGCAGTGGGGTGCCTTCATAGACCAGTACATTACACTCAAACCCCAAAAAAGCACAAGTCAGCAAACGCTGTACAGTTACAGTCTCCTTTCTCTTTGTTTCTCTGCAGAGCAGGTTCATGTCCCTTCTAGTGACATCACTACAGCAGTATGAACAAAAATAAAATCATAAACATGTACCCCGTTATTAAATCATTCCTACAATGTTTTGCAGTGAAACAACTTTCACAAGGATGGAATGAACATGATAGTAATCTCAATCTTTGAAACACCAAACTCTCACCAGTTCATCATGGTTATCTCATTCAGGAATATCTGAGAAATGGACTTTAAGACAGGAAGACGTTTAAACAGACAACCCTAAGCTCAATAAGTTTGTGTTTTGGATTTCTGGAAAAAACAAGTAGCAGTCTCTGGAGCTTAAAGAGAGTTAAATTCAAGGTCTTGGTGAGGCTTATCATGAGTATAATTCTGCCCTCATAACTATTTCTCCGGCACGTTGCTGTATATCAGAATGTGACCTTACTCAGCTTGGCTGTGATGATCAACATGTACCAGTGAAAACCAAGAAGGCTGACTGACATTTCAGTTGCGGGTCATTGTATGGAGGTGAGAAAAGAGTAAGTTAAAGGGAATGGAGTCTCATCTTTGTAGTTCATGGTGTGATATGTTGTTTTATACAGCTATAGAAAGAAAGAGAAACATTGTTGGCCGTTAGGGGTTATTTTAAAAAACCATGACAAATTACCACACTATTCATCCAAAGCACTTCTAATTAATCCCAGCCACTGCAGACATGTCCTCTGCAAACAGAAGCATTTAGCTTCACTTTTAAACAGCTGTTTCCAAGATGGCCCGCCTTTCAGTGTACTTCTCATAGCTCACTCAGAGCAAGCAGTGTACTACGGTTGTACAGAGAGAGTGTGTGTGTGTGTGTGTGTGTGTGTGTGTGTGTGTGTGTGTGTGTGTGTGTGTGTGTGTGTGTGTGTGTGTGTGTGTGTGTGTGTGTGTGCGCGCAGCTCCAGGCTGGAAATAACCCGGCTCGACCACTCTCCTCTCTTTATCTTTCTCACACATACACACAAAGGAAAAGAAAGGCGAGACAAGCTCTCTAAAAGTTAACTCAAAATATGAGCAAAAAGATGGAAAAGGAGATAACCTTTGAACAATTGAAATTACTTTATAATTCATATTGCTCAATACAACATTTAGTTTTCACTGGCCTATGATTAGAAACCAAAATATGTTCTAAGCAATTATTAGAAATACAATTATTTACCAAATTGATACTAAGAAAGCTTACCTCCAGCTCTGGAAACACAGTTGCCCCATTTTGAAGACTTTCATTCTTAACTGTTGTGCGTGTTAAACCATGTATTTGGGCATTTTAGTATTAAATGATTAATTTCAATTTCTAATAGCTTTTTTAATGTCTTCAAATATCTTCTTTTGTACTTCCAGCTGTAAAAAATCCAAAGTTTTCATCCACAAGTGTTATAAAAGCAGCATACAGCCTAAACAGGTAATCTAATGTAAAATATGTTGCTGATTGGTTTTACATGTATAATCAAATTGTTTCAGCATTTCGCGTTATGCCTTGTGGTCCATGTCCACTTTCTGCTCTCTCCACACTCTCTTTCCAGTACCTTAGTTTGGCCTCCGAGGCCAGGTTACCATGATCGATCATTAAAAGAGAACGATGAAGCAACAGCCTGAGAAGTAGGCTTGCTAACACTCAAACAAACATAACCTTGGTTTATACAGCTACATTTTCATTAATTCTAAACGGAATGCAAATAAATCAGTGAAAAGAGAAGTGCTGCAATAGGGTCTTTTGACTCACGGAGCTGGATAAGGAATTCGATGTGAGCACAGAGTGTGAAGGACCGATAAGATAGAGAAAAATTGGCCCCAAAAAATAAAGAGCAGGAGAGAGTGGAGTGTGAGGTGAAAGACTGATGTGTCCTTATGATACAAGACGGAAACGAGGCCATGCTTCACTTCCAAAGTAAATGGAGGGAAGTTATTAACTTGGACGAGACAGATAACACTGTTACCTTGAACTGGAGATAGCATGGATTCTTTTCCAGCCCTTGGCCATCTAGCCTCTTTAGTCTCTGCAGGGATAATTTCCTGCCTTCCTTCATCATTTACCTCTTTTATTGCCTCCAACTGAAATCCCTTTCGCTTGTTTGTTATCTTACATTATCTACCTATTCTTTTATGTGCTGCTTTGAAATTGACTTAAATAAGAAGTCAAAAGGTCATTTAAATATATAAACTACAATGTCTAATCTTACAGCCTGGCCACAGGTCATCTCTGACCTACTAGACAGCAGCTAAAGCATTATGGGTAAGGCTTAAATCCAGTCAAACACAATATTTCACCTTGAGAAAGACTGAGCTCTGAGAATTAACAATTTTACTCCAACAAAACAACTTTAACAAGGAAATATGGGGGCCCCATTTCAATCATGCCGCTTAGACCATGTAAAAAGATGGATGACATGACAGCTCCCCAAATGTGAAGCCAAACATTTGGAGCCTTTGAACTTTCCATAACCACGAGTGTCTGCTTCCAACTGACACAAGTATCTGTTCTGCTGTGGATTGTTCTGACCTCAGAGATCTTTGTCTTTTTTTTTTTTTTATTGGTAAGTTAAATATGTGTTTTGGTAGGTGGAGTTCACCAGAGCAATAGGTCAGCATCCGTCCCTGGTGGTCTTTTGCCGTCTTTTTTGTACAACAGGAGGGGGTGTAGACCCGTCATCCGTCTATATATGCAGTCAATGTGCCATCATAATGACTAATGAACAGCTGTGTTGTGTTTTCATGGACAAAAAGGAGCGTATCCAAACACAACATTCCTATATGTAACTGGTTGAACATCTATGCATTGTTGGCACAAATAGGTTGTGTAAGGGTCTGCTAGTGAACCAGTTTCTCACAACTATCTTGTCTTATGAACTGTTACATGCAGCACATCAATGGCACATCATAAAAACACGAGTTCATGCAGAGGATGGTCCTGGCAGTAACGGAATAACGCTGTTGACTGAGACGTTCAGAGTTGCAGATTAGGAACATATTGTCTCAAAACGTGATATCACACCATAAATATATTGTGAGGAGAAGGTGACGAAATTAGCTTTATGTAACTTCAGAGAGGATGCAGTGATGTTTTTTTTTGTTTTTTTTAACACGACCTTAAAATCAATGTTTTTCACTTGGCCACAGGTTTTCTCAGGTCAACTAGTTAGAAAAGTTATGAGCTCTTGTTCGGCCTGTGATGAATCACTCCACATGTGACGTCTTTCTTTCTAAAATTAACTCCATCTGCTGTTGGCACATGCTGTGTTTTAACCCCTTTTATGTTCTACTGTTATGGTTATACTGTCTTCGATGTCTGTTTTGTTAGTACAGGAAAGAAATGTTTTCTACATGTCCATTTTTATATTTGAAAAACATGCTCTCATCCTAAACAGGTGGACAGAGGTAAGACAACTCATGTCCAACTGGAGGAAATTATGGAAAGAAAAACAGAGACGAGGACAATAAATGGGTCAAGTAAAAATACTGTAGCCTAATCATTACCAAGCAGGAAACACTTAATCTCATTCAAACATGAGTAATTATCTCTAACAGTCAGAAAAGTAGTCCCTTTAATAGGTAGCCGGTGGTTATTTTAGCTGAGAATTGCAAACATACACCCTCGCCAGCTATTTCTAGATCATTTACTGCGGTTGTGAGCGCTTGAGTGTTTATTTACTATCCTGATGTTGGCTGCCGTCGGTAGATGCCATGGTGTTTGCTTCCTGTGATAATCTACACAGCCGGTTTGTGAAACTGGATTCTCATATGTTGTTTGTAACTCATCTCGAGCCTCATGACATCCTCTGTAAGCTATGCCCTTTTCTCTAGCCTGAGAAAGCATCGGGCTAATGAAACTGAAGAAAGCCTTTGTGGGTCATTTCTACAATGATATTCAAGTGTACAACAATCTGTAGGACTTTGTCAAAGCGTACAAAGTCTGCGTTTGGACACATCCATGTGCACACTAATACATCCATCTAGCAGCAGGAGTTGATAAATAGCTAAAGGAATACAGCATTGGGTTTCATCCTCAGCAGACTATGATAACAATCTACCACTGCGCCAACTGTTCCCAACCACGCTATCTGACCATCATAGTATAAATACTGCCAGGCTCTGCTTTACCCCCAGCCTCCATACTTTTACAACCGCACACCTGAAAGACTTACTGATGCTCGCTGTGAAGTCTGATGTAACATCTCACTCTGACCTCTGCTACTTTCTGGGGATCGAGTGGCCAAACCACAGTCCTTAACAGCTGCTCTGATCTTTCATGGAAATCAACAAGTAGGGATGGCGCAGCCGCGTGTGTGTGTGAGAGGAGCAACACTGAAGCCAGTGTCCACATAATCTCACAGCGTGTTATTTAAAAGCCCATATTTTTCTTTTTCTTCTCTGCTACAAACTTGGCAAAAAGTGAGATTCTGAACTCGTCATTTCCAAGTCTTTAATGCTGTTTGGAACACGGGTTAGGAATGGGCACAATACAGCAGCATTCAATTGATCGTAGCAAAAGGGTAGCTGACCCAAAAAATATGTAAGTCAAATCAGATGTGACTAAGAAAAAGGTAGCTTTGATTTGTGATTAATCTTTTGGTAGTTCAACCCTAGAACTAACCCCTACATGAGCCTCGTGTTTTACCTGTAAGATGGTCATTAATCAGTCCACCCAAGCACTTGATGTAGAAAAGATTTTTATTTACCATTTAACAACTTTTTGATTGTTTCCACTACTACAATATATCATAGGATAAATGATTGTACTCATCTGATATCAGAGAAAAAGTAGCTCAGCGAGCAGTCCCTTAAGCAACGAGCAAAGACAAACAGTTTTTCACTGCTTTATTGACTGTTTTTTTTACATGTTTCAATTAATGTCAGTTTGTTTTGGAGGGGATGTTTACAATGAACATTGAAGTTATGTATTTATATTTTTCCATGAAGACATATCTCAACAAAGCTGTTTGGTAATCTAGTGGTTATTTCAATCGTAGAAGGTTTAGTTAAGATTTTTTATTGGATTTTAAGAAGTTCTTCTCTGATTTTCTGGTCTAATCTTCCACTTCTCAATCTTGTATGACCCACCAAGTAACTTCTTTACAGTGACACAGTGTCACATTACTGTGTTGAGGGTCCTATTGGGTCTGTATAATGTGCTGGTCAACTATGGTGCTCAAATTATGCAGGACACAAAAAAAGTGAATGGTTCTAGAATAACATGGTGGTGAGTTGTGAAAGCGAGCTTTGAGCAATGAGCCTTTTTTAAAAAGAACACGACGATTTGAAGGCAAGGCATTAAGGTTCAAGGTGAAAGGAAAGGCTTGCACTGAGTAGCACGGCAAACAGATGCAGAAAGCAAGAGAAAGTTTGCCAGTTTCGACATCTCATGTTAACACTCCCCGACTGAGTAGTTCATCAAAACTACCACTTTCTTTGGGACTGCTTTGATGTCTAGAAAAATCTACGTCATCCAATGACATCATGACATTCCTCAGATCTCTGTGGTAATGTTTTTCAGCTAAGGTCTGCACCCCTCAGTGCACAAAGTCTTGCAGAGTGCACATTACCTGGCAACCATTTAGACGCAGCTTTGTAATTCTGGCATCGACCCCTCTGGTCAGAGAAGGAGCGTGCAATCACTCTCTGTGTCAGCGCGCTACGAGAGACCTCCTTGACTCCCATCGTAGGATCAATCAGCCCATGTCAGGGTTCAGGAGCACGATGTGTCAACTTCAATAGCTTCTCTTCGGGCTGAGCAGGAGAACAAGGTCATGTACATGATTGACCGTGATTGATCTGCCTGCATATTCGGGCCATGAGTAATAGTAGCGATACAACAGGAGATAGGCCTCCTTTGAGCAGGGGAGGGAAGAGCAATAAAAGCATCGGGAGGTGGACTCCTTTTTAGGCTTGTGGCTGGATTTGAGTCAGCAGCCCAGGTTGATGATTAGGGCAGAGGGCACCGGTGAAATTCTTGAGCCATTCAGACAGGACAGGCTCCAGTGGTCAGGCTGCAGACATGACTATTGTAAGCTGCTATGTGATGCAGGGTAAATATTTAGTTTGGTCAAAGAGGGGTAATAAATTCTGAGAGCTTTATCCCAATCACTCCTGATGGTCGAGGAGAGGTGGGAGTCGATACAAAAGCTCTGACAACAGGAGCGTAGAAACAAAGAAGACAAATCCTCCATCTAGCTACGCACATGTTTTGTTTGTCCTGTGATTACAAAGTTGACTGTTGGGAGTAATTATCGGGTAGCCTACTTCCCATTTGACTAATCTGGATAAGCCCCTTAGTCCAATCAAGCTGTTCCAACTCACTAACTACAGCTTAATTGTCACTGTCACTATTCTTATACAAACTAACAAACAGAGGCATTCAACCTTGTCTACACGAGGGGATGGACAGATGAAAAGATATGTAGTGAAACAAAAGAACTAGAGTAGAAATATTCCAAAACATTTAAAGCAACAAAAAAAACAACTTGGATGTTGGTTTATAGTGTTTTAGGACTCCCAAACGAGTGACTGTAATATATTTCTAACACCTTGGAAAATAACTTTTGAAAGTGTGTTTGCAAAAGAGCTAGCCATGATGTAACACCAAACTGGAATGATGCCTGACATACGTCTTCTATCCAAGTACTGAATTACGATTGTTGCAGGTCCCCTAAACCCCCTCCCCAACAGAACTGAACCTCTCAACTTTCTTTTTTTCTTCTTCCAATCTTTTGTAATGTGTGTGAGCAAGCGAATGCGTAGCAAGCCGCCACACCTGGATTGTGACTGACTAAAGGGAAACAACAGCAAGTTATTGTGACAGCTTGAGGAAAGAGAGGCTCGTGGATAGAATGACAGCCATGTTTAACCCATTTGATGAAAGGTGAGGAGACGCATTATCTGACACTGAATGGAAGTCAATCTGATCATCTGCAACAATTTGTCAAATAACTCAAGTGAATACAGTCAAATAAGAGAGCGCAAAAGAAAGTACTGCAATACTACAGAGCAGCCAAGATCAACTATTACCTCAACAATGTGAGTCTTGAAGAATGGAATGCACACTTTGATCCACTAATTACATAATTAACAAATAGTGGAAAATGTAAAGAGGGTAATTGGGATTTGGCCTCCCAGTAACTTTTATGAACCTCGTTTCAATCATCACACATCAGTTCATTCAGTTACATAATCAGCTATTTTGAGCCATGGGGGGGGGGTACTGTCCACATTCTTTCAAAAACTTTCAGAGATGTAACACTCCAAAATGGTCCACTACAACCAATGGGTGACAGGATGGAGGCTGGTCTACTTATTATATACAGGGTTTACATGATAGCTGCTTAACATCGGTTAGCACTGCTAATGTAAGATTTTAGCTCAAAGCACTGCTGTGTCTAAGAAAAGCCTCACAGAGACAAAGAAAATATGGATTCAGACTCTTTCTGCAGGACTCAATGGAACTCAAGCTGAAGCTGACAGCGATGTTCCTGATAAATGTGATCACGGGGTAAACACTGGTCGGACTGGTACTATATTCTCAACTACTCCCAGATTGGACAAATGTATTTGAAAAGCAGGAATTTTGAATTCTGGTTAGTGTTAATGACTTTTTGAACTCTGACCTCTCTGCCCTGTGACCGGATGACCTAAGGCTCATGACTCTGCACTGAGGGCCATAACAAAACAGACTTCCTAAGTTTACAACCTTCTACATACTGTTATGGTTGGTATGTGTGTATGTTTAAAAACTCACGCTTAGGTTTCTGTCCCAGATCTGGATTGTGCCGTCCTGGCAGCCCGCTGCTACGAGCTTCCCGTCACGGCTGTAGGCGCAGCACGTGGGGATGACCTTCTTCCCCTGGAAGGAGCGCGGTTTGAACACAGACTTGTGTTTCTTGTCAGACTGCACGTCCCATGTGCGCACGGTGCTATGGACAGACAGAAAAACGAATAAATGATCCCCCATCATGACATAGTCACAAAGTATCTGTCCCTCAAAACATATATTAAGACAACAGCCAACAACGTAATGTCTTTCACATGGACACAAGGGTAGGGTAGCTATAAGTAGCAGGTTGAGGGGTTAACAAACAGCATAGCAGTCTGACAGTCATGTCTGAAGATTTCATTTAGTCCTTTAGCATAGAACACAACATGCACCCCCAAGAGGCGGTTCAAGGTTTTCAAACAGTAAATGTGCAAAAAGTAAATTTATTCAATAATGTCCTGAAATCAAGGTTAATATTCAAACATTGAAAACATACTAGCATAATTAGTATTTATTTAATGAGAGAATTCAAGATAACTAAGGATGTCCCTATAGCAGTGAAATTAAACACACGGTTTGTAGGGCTAGTCGTCCATTTAGAAATTTAACACAAAATACAAAAGTGAAGAAGACCAACAGTCACTTTTTTGTTAATTCAAGGATCTGATAAATAACAAAAACGTTTTGTATTTGTATTAAAACCAGGGGAAACATTTCACCTCTGACTCTGCTGGCATGACTTCCTGTTGAGAGGATGTCCAAGCAAGCAGTGATGCTCTCAACTTAACCCACCTTACTTTAGTCACTCTCTTTTCATCTAACTATGTTCACACCTGTTCAGGGCTCAAAGAATGAATATGTGAGTGAGGATAAAGTTATATGTAATAAATGACAAAAAATAAATACAGAGAGTGATAAAAGAAGACAAACTTGATGACAAAGAGGCAAATCTACTAATTACTACAAGAACCTCACACCTCCACTGGTATTTCCCTTACCTACTACACATAAACATATTAAGCAAACCTCTCACACACCCACACAGGCACTAATGCCAGACAGAGTGGGTCCAAATGCGTCTGTGACACCCTGCTTGCTCTAGTGAGCATCTCGACCTCTGGGTCATGAGGTCAGCGGAGGAGTATAAACATGGAGTCAATGCTGCTACTCAAAGCCAGGGAAGGATTCCTCTGTGGCTGGCTACAAAAGTCACAGACAGACACACTCAACTGTGTTTGGATAACTCTAACAATGTGATACAAATGCCAGCTCAAGACATATGGTTTGAGTGAGGACTTGCAAGGGTCAAATAAAACTCTGTTTGATGCATGGCTGCGTTTAAATCCACATAAACCAAAGCTGTCAATAAATCAAAAACTCTGGTGGGAAAAAAAAAAAGAGAGGGTCGCCAGAGTGCAACATGAAGAGCTGATGCATTGTGCATGTAAGTGTTTACACGAGCAGATATACACGTGTTTGTGTGAGAGTGACTGAGGAAGAGTGATAGTCACGGACTTGATGACAAATTGGTCCACCTGCTGCCTCACACAGACATCTCTATTTTGTTTACAGAAGCCTTAAGGCATCTATCAGGCCACTAAAGACAACATAACCTTTCGCGTAGCACACAAAACCTGGAATGCTATTTATCGTAAAAGGGCTATGGACTCTTTCCAAAATGTGGCAGTGCTGGCTGATGGGGCGCCCAACAGTGTGGAGCACAGGGCAATCACTCACTGCACACCCAGATCTGCAAACCCTTATCATAGGAAGTACTCGGGTACTTTTAATTGGAGTGTGAAAACCTTCTGTATGCAAAGAGGGATCTGAGAAACTAATTAACTTTCACTCAGTCTCACTGGAAACATCTGGGGCAGCGTCCAGATATTATTCTCTTAGAGGAGGTAGTTGTCTTAGGAAACTAATAGCAATGAAAGAGTATGAGGTGTCAAAATATTAACAAGTGACTAGAAGAAAGTACTGAAAACATAACCACCCGTTCCTCTCTTCTTGAACCCTGTTTTCCCTTCAATCAGCAGCCTCCTTTTCCTGCACAACTGCTTCAAAGACAGAGGTATGAATACTATCAAATGAGACCCATACATCCTTGATCATGCATGCAGCTCTTCATGAGGTTCCACAGTCACTCACGCTTCGACTGCACAGTGACAACTCCCTAGGCCGCAGATTTTTATCTATGCATCAGGTTGTAGTCCTGGTGGGAGCTACGGTTGCTTGGATCACTTTTCAAGATGACGAGATAGGAAGAAAGAATGGATAACAATGGCATAGTTCTGCTTTGAGGATGTACGTAGGTCAAATTCTGATGATGTGGACAGGTTTTGTTGTCTGGTGGCTGGTTGACTGAATAACTGGGGCATTTGTTATGAGAACGACGGATAAGGAGTGAGAAGACGCTCCACGGTTTGGGAGGAGGAACAGACACAGGGGCACTCAAGCAAAAACAAGAAAGACTGAGCACTGATGGTTGAAGCAAAGATTTTCCAAAAGAAAGTCCTGGCATTGTCCAGTAGTGGCGTACATGGAGTTAACCGTAGTGTGACGCAGTACACATTAGTTTTTCATTTTGAGCGAGCGGGTGGGCTGATGACATCATCTAAGCTAGGGGTGGAAATTGCAGGGTAACTCACAATAGTAGACCTGATACGTAGCCCATAATCTTTTATCAATATTTTGAAAATTCTGCCTCCTTCTGTTTGTGTTGACTTAGGCACCCTCTGTTGGCAAATCAGTACCTCTTAACTGTTGCGGATTTCATCAAGTACAGTAGTTTAATTTATTTTTTTAAGACTAAAACAAAAGAAGGCTGTTAATCAGAGGCTACACTTCTCATCGCAGCGGTGTTGGGTTAGAATCCGATCTCAGCTCTTTGCTGGCTTGTCTCCACTTTCTTTGACCAATAAAGGCAAAAGTGGCCAAAAATAAGACTTAAAAAAGGCTGTTAATTCAGGGTTCTATTCATCCCCTCCTCTAACACCTGTTCTGTGGGTATGTATGCATCATGATCAATCTTGTCGCTAATGGTCTTGTTTGCCCACAAAGAGACTAATTTCAGTCTGTTTTATAACCATGTAAGAACTCCTCATAGGACCTTAGATACACTGAGTTAAGCAGATATATATATATATATATATATATATATATATACTTAACTCAAGCTAAAAGAAGCTTTTCAAATTTAATCAAGAAATCTGGTTGATAAGCTCGCTCAGTTTAAGAAATTGGTCTCATATTTACTTCAATAATAAAATAATACTTTACACCCTAAAGAGGGTCCTGACTGAAAAATTCAGCCATGGTTGTAAGTTGAACATGAAGGATGAATGCACTCTTTAAAGGTATGGTATGTGCGTTCTTGGGCAAGATATGGAACACTTGCTGTGTAAGGTGAGCAACAGCTTGAGACGAGCTGGACTGTGGATGAACCTGATGTGTGAATCGCCCCAACATGTTCACACACAATGTTTGAGGTCCGTTTTCAGTCTTTGTCCCTGTTCTGCTCCACACCAAGCAGCAAGGGCCTCTTCCCCTTGAAACAATGGCAATGTAAGCCATCACCAAGCATTTGGCTGAAAGCACTGAAAAATAGACGACCTACTTAAATGGAAAAATGATAGTGCAAGCAGTTAATAATCAATCAAACATGATACACTACTTCAAAGAAATATTAACCTACTCCTACTTGAAAACATATATTTGAACACAAGGATTTATCAAAGCTGAGGATCATGAATCTACTTAGTGCGACCATGTTGTCCTCAGGGTCTCCTTCCTTACAGCCACACATCCAAATCCAGCTGCAGCTCTGACATCAGGCCAGCACAAAGGGAATCCCTGGCATTCAAACCTCCTGGAAGCATTCCTCAAATTGTGTGTATTTGTGTGTTCACATGCGCTTGTGTGTCCCAAGACTCGACACAAGTAACATGTGGTTCTGATTAGAAAGTCGCCGTTTGTCCTATCCTCTGCTGGGCTGGCTGAAATTTCAGTCACAAAAAGAGCATAACATGAAGTTTTTATCGGCCTCCAGGGGGAACACAAAACGACACAAAGTGAAACCGAGAATCCACAGTGTCATATCCATGAAGACGCTTTGATGCAAAGCTTTCCACCATAATAGTCAAAGTTAAACAAATCTACAGAACGCAGCAAAGTTTGTGTACCTCAAATCAATTCAATAATGTTTCAGTAACTACTGTTTGATTTTGGCCATCAGGAAAAGCCGCAGCTCAAGGAAGCCCCAGCCGTATTTTTAGAAATTAATTCAACTTCAATCCTGCCAATGAAATTCTTCCAGCGGGACTAAACCTTCACAAACTGCCTTCACTTTCCAAGAAATAAATCAGCCGATTTCAAACAGGTGTTTAGCCTTTCAGCAGAGATTTAGTTAAAGTGGCTGAATGCTTAATATGGATTTGGCCCTATTGGACCACATATGAAAAAGTTTGGAAAACACTTTTAAAATCAGACTACTCTCAAACAGAATGACAGATGAGGAAACTTTCACACCAGTCTGAGCCGAAAAGCTTCTCGCAGACGGTATTGAGTCACACAGTTCTACTTAAGCCTCATTGAACCTTCAGTGTCCAAGGACAATCACTACCACCCTGCTGCTACATTATTGTGCTCCATCCGTACTTCCCTCTTATCCACTTCCTCCAGGGGAAAAGAGGTCTGTAAATGAAATCATTCAACAAGCTGGGAGTCTGTTCTTATGAATGAGATTCTAAAAGGGGACATTAAATGAATCAGCTGGGCGGTCCAGTGATCATACTTAATACGCTTTTCAAATAAACACAACAAAGAGTCTCTAACTAGGGCAACACTGGGAGAACCAGAAAAAAAACCAAGGTGTTGATTAAAGAAGATACAGCAAGTAGCAGACACCCACTGTTACTATCGACCAACTGCTGGTCCATGAGGCCCACTGACTACAATCTGGCCCCTGCAGGGTCCCAAAGTTGTTCAAAGGAAGGAGAGAGCGGCACGAAGACGCATTGTTTGATAGTCCTTCCACAATAACGAGAGCATTGCAGATGGAGGCATCGACCACACATCATTATACCCTACCAAGATTTGCAAAAGTCCTAAAAAAAATATTCTAGGGCCAGTTCCAAAGAGGAGGTAAATCCAGAATCCCCTCATATGTGACTTGATCGTCACAAGCCAAACAGGCTTTTTGGGGGGAAGCAAATCAATTTAATAGGTAAAATTTACCCGAGAGAGAGACTGCTAATGCATCAAAATACTTTATTCTACAACAGAGAATCTACCAGAGCACAAAAACAAGACTAAATAGTGAAATCTGGATGTTTTGCACCTGTTGAAAGCCAGATGGCTACATGTACCTTGCATTTGAGAACTAAGAAAGATCTTTGTAAACGTGTGAAGTCTTCGGAGTCCCACATATTATGCTGCAAACAACAAATGTGATGCAAAGTAAAGGTGCAATATGAGAGATTTGAAAAAGGGCTGGATTGAAAAATATTTCCCCTGTAAATCACTTTAGACAAGCCCTCCCTCTCTTTCATCTCTCGTTGCTGTGCTGACCTGCTCTGCTGCCATGAGCCCCATTCACATGCAGCTGTTCCGCCTGTGAATGGTTCCCAGTGCGCTCCATCTCCTCCGCTTGCTCTCCTGTGAGCCGACCAGGGGCAACACCCAGTGCTAACGTGCCAGGGGAGGATTTCCAGAGCCTCAGTAAGAGCTAAATAAACCTGCCCCCACATCTGGGGGAGCCGGAACACTGGTAAACACTGGTCTGCGGCCTGCCCACAAAGCGAGGCCCTTGTTTCCACTTGATGATAATAGCACAGGGTTGCTGCGCTGCTGCCTGTCACACTCACTTAGACTCATCACCGTGGTCTTGCTCAGAGTCACACATATTCACTCACAAATATTCACTCACACCTCTAAAAAGGGCTGAGGGTTACAGTTTCTGCAGTAATACAGGTAGAGTGTCACTTTTAAGGGGACGGAGCCTGCTAAAGTTTTTCTTTCTGAAGCAGAAAGATCTGAAATGTGTGTTTGTGTGTGGCGTGTTTCTATCTCCAGCAGAGTTGCTTTGGTCCAAATCACTGCATGCAAATAAAGGCTGCCTTTGGACTGCATGCAATATAAAATGTGCCATGTGGCAATGCACAGCTGTGAGGAAAAGCTTCTATCTCCAGCAGCAAAATCTGGGCTAGAGGACTCCCTGCTGGTGGCAGCGACCAAGAGAGCAAAAAAAGTATTAGACATGACCAACACAGGTTAGCTGCCGGGTGAGTAAGATTACCAATAAATAGTGGACAAGTAATTACAATATGAAGTAGGTTTGACCATGAAGGTTGTCTTTAAAAAATTCAAAATTACATTATGTTCTTTTTATTGTTTGTTTTTCAAGATGATGCAGACTAATGTTTTTGCACATCCTGATAAATCACATGGAATCATGGAACAGAGACAGAATGTATTTACAGTTAGAAAGAGCAAACACGATAGTAAGTCATAGTATGACATAATTATTATTAGATGTCTTTCCCTTATGGACTTTGTAAATATTTATGTAGACTAATTACTAATGCTGGAATAACAACACGTTTGATATTCCTGTGTGTTTTTTTGGTGACAGTTTTTCTATAAAAACGTAATGGATGTTGATGTTATATTACTTACTATATTAATCTAAAACAAAAGAGACATAAAGGTAAAGACTGCTCCTTCATCTCAGAGCTCACAACACTTATTTAAGACTCACCCGTCATTGGAGCAGGTCATGAACTCTTCTTTAGTCTTGGGGTGCCAGCAGCCACAATTCAGCATGGCTGTGTGACCCTGAAAAAAGAGAGAGAGAGAAGAAAATGAAGAAACTACTCATTTATAAAAAGGCAATAAGTAGTTAATAAAGCAGATCCTTAGGCTAGCTTGCAGACACTGAGGTGCAGCAGCTAACTGTGAACCATGTGGAGAACTGTTGAACAGTCAGTAACATGGACTTTTTCAACTGATTTGAAACTTGAAGAAGGCCTGGTGGAAACACAAAATGGGAAAGTCTACAGGAGGAACCATTGAAGGTGCATTTTAACATGTGTAAAGACGGCTGTTGTCCTTCATGGTTAAACCTGCAGCGGCAGCCATAATGCGGAATATAATGTCACAGTTAATTATTTCAGGGGTGTCATTATGTTTTTGTGCATTTTCAGAATTGTGCAGTTTAAAGTTCAAGTATAATGTCTGTAAGAACATTGACTCAGATTGGTTTTAAGCACAGAGAAGATTCCTGGAGGCACCACTTATGTTGCACTTTAAAAAGGACTCTTCCTTTAGGAAAGGACCTTTAGGACCTCTAATTTGCTGTCTGTTTTGCAACCTTGACTTTTAGCCCTCCTCAAGACAGATTTAAACTCTGCAGCAGTGCAGAACGCTGTGATACGGTTTCAAACTTTGAGCTTCTAACAGCGAGAGTAACTGTTAGACATTTCCTCTGCTGGGGTATTCCTGTGGAGAGCTACTCATAACAAATGACTTCAAAGTGGAATATATCCCAGAGAGAGGCCTCCACAACTGCCAGGTCAGAGAGGAACACTGCAGTGTGCTGCAAAGAGGCTTCAGACATGACATACTGTGATATGACAGGATGCTCCAAAAAGCAGAGCCTAGCATTAGCAGCAGAAGTTGACCGAATGACATCGGTATGTGTGCATCAGAAAAGACACCAATCTATTATTAGTATACTTCAAACCCATCACTCTAAGAATCGATAAAAAAGTAACGGCTTAGACCATGCTGTTAAACGACTGAAAATTGTTATTGTTATTGTATTTTTTTTACATTATTGTATTGTATTGTGTAACTTTACATTTACATTATTGTATTTTTTACATTATTGTATTTTTTTTATTTAAATGATGTAAATATGTTTGATCTGTTTCTTAACTTCTATTTTTATTTTTTGTAAGTATATTCCCGTCCCGTTTTCTGGAACTGCTGTAATGCACAAATTTCCCCCACGGGGGATCAATAAAGTTTATCTTTATCTTTAAAAGGACGGGTAATAAAATGCTATGTTTGTTATACTCTAATCTTACTATATCTCGAATGGACTGTGAGTGACTTCTTCCCTGCTTAGGGTAACAACATCAAAATAAACAGAAGCATTCCTCGACAGTTTGGGACAAAAAATAGCCAAAAATGAAATAGTAACAGAACGATAATAACTTTAATAGGGCCACTTTAATGATAAACAGCATCAGGAACACACCGGCATACAGAGTTATATTTAGCATAAGTTACTTTGATTACTGTGTTTGCAAGGTTTCATGAAGGGATGCTGAAAACATCAGTAGGTTAAGAAATAAACTTAATCAAGCATTAACTAGATCTGGATGATCAATAAAAAATAAATGAATTAAACAGAAATTTAACTGACAACATTTCTGATTGTTTAAAGAAAGATTGAATTAACGTTTAGGGATTTCGTTTTTTGTTTTTTTAAAGTCAAACATTTTCTGGTGTCAGCTTTCAGAGGTTGTGCTCCTTTTCTGTTATTCCCTCACTCCCTTGGGTTTGAGCAATGAATGGACAAAACAATGTATTTGAGCATTCTTGGATATTGAAAACAGAGCCGAGCTTTTTTTGTTATTTTTTTTTTTTTGCATCTTCCTGGATTCAACAGAACAACTATTATTCCCCCCAAAAAAAATCAGATATCTTGCCCTCCAATTGAAAGCACATTTAAACCTTCTGTGTGGAAAATCTCTCCGTGCACAGTAGGAGGCACGTTACCGTCTGTCATCAGAGGGGGAGCAGAAGCAAGGACTTCATTATCACATGAGACACAGCTAATCGACTGGGACATTGTCAGCGGGCCAAAGAGCAGTTTCATTGAACCAAACTCTCCCATCGGCTCCAGATGGGACCGAGCAGGACAAGTATGTAGGACATCCAGGAAAACACTACTCACGATCAATGGGCCTTCACTTGTAGCAAGCGATTCTTATGGGTGGTATAAACCATGTCTAAATGCAGTGCAGCTGGCACAGATGGTTAGTGACCACCAATACAGCTTTGTTAAACACAGTAAAACCCAAACATGGGCGCTTAATTAGGATCCTCCTTTGTAGATGCAGGTACAAGCAAGAGATGAACCATGACTGTCCTGAAAGCATGTGGTGTTCATCTCCCCCTATGCGGCCGCCTCTGGCTGATCACACAGCACTTAACGTTATCCTCACATTCAGACACAGACCAGCTCGTTGCCGAACCTTGCTGCCATTATGAGTTGGAAGGATTTACCCACAGAGCAAAGGAGCAGAGCATCCAGCCTGTGATGATGTTCAGCAGGCTGGTTTAGACGTGCTGCTGCTGTTGCCAAAGACGTTAAAAATGCTCAGCTTTACATGACTTTCGTCTTAATATTCATGTGTTCGTCCATGTAGCATTGAATTTGGATAATGTGGACGATGTAGAGAGCTGTTTACAGCAAAAAAGCTCTTTGAACACGCTAAACTCAGCCTGCTCAAGCCCTGAGAGCAGAAGTGCGCAATTGGCTACTGGCTTGTAGAGCATTTTGCGGCTTCAGAGTAAGATATGTCCCCCCCATGAGTTGGCAAAGACCAAACAGTAACAGTTGGATTTTAATTCATCATGAGTCAAGAAGTAAAGCTCAAAATGGCGAGAAAAAAATGGACCATAGAAGCTGAATGTGTGAATAAGCAACTGTTTGCGAACAAGTTTTCAATACAAACTTAAAAGATGATTTATTAACAATGAGTACACAACTCACTGCCCTTAATAGGCCAAACAATTATTCATTGCAGGTCAAAGTTTGTTATGTTAAGGTCTTAATCCTAAATATCATTGTGTTCCGTTCTAAAAATATTGTGCTCCTCAAGGCAGAAGCTGAAACTCTGGAATGCGGAAACATTAAAAAATAAATAAATAAATAAATAAATCATACAGAACGAGAGAAAGGATGAACAGAAAGGGTTTCAACAAACCTTCACGTTTGCTAAATGTACTTTGAAGAAAAACAGACTTACATTGTGGTTCATCCCAGCGACTTACCCTCAGTTTTCTTCTACGGTGATGGATTATTACTGACATTTCTGGTGCTCCAGTTTATCCTTTTGTCCAAATAAAGCGGCCTAAAATCGTGCTTAATTGTTACTTTGTTTACAACTTTTTTGATCATCTGACTGCTTGTGTTTATTTCCCTGTCAGACTTTCTCTCCGTGTGGCCGGACTCCAGTTATTACTTAGTGTACTGAACTGTAATAGCAACCAACTGAAGCAACATACTAAAATACAACTTAAGTGTAAGAAATACTTTGCCTTGGTGTTGGCCATATCCACAATGTACTGGTCTCCCTTCACACACTCCATGACATTGAAGCCATCTCGGTCCAACACCTTTGCCTGAGCATTCCCAGAAACCACTAGGATGACATCACCAGTGATGCTGTACTGCAGGGACTTAATCTGATGGCTGAGGAAACACAGACAGACGACACACACACACAAAAAAAAAAAAGAAAATCAGACAAAATAAGACACTTTTACATGGCATCTCTGTGGTACTGACACGTTCAGATAAGTGTTTTAGATCTGTTTGCGGGCCATCTGCGAGCTGTGATTGTGAAAGACATCTGCACCACAACATAGTTACACAAGAATCCTTCAAAGGGTTCAGGGACAGAAAAAAACAAACAATAGATACAAGTAGCTATAGGAACAAAACAGGACAACATCTGACGTACATGTGATGGTTGTACCTTTGATCAACAGCACGCAACAGACACACTGTAAACATAACAGGATTATACAGCTAAGAAAAGAAAGGAATGACACATCCTACTTTATAAGACACAAGGCACACGATGAAAGACATTTAAGAAAAAATAAACATAATTATCTTTCACTGACATGTATCACAAGAAACAGGGCGAGGTATCCTGTGTGAAGATGAAGTTTATCTTTTTAGGATAGTATGTTATATATATATATATATATATATATACATATATATAATGTTATGTTATATTTTTACATGTCTGGTTTAAGGCGGGATATTTACGGCCCTGTAACATCTCGCCGACCGTCAATGTTAAAGTCACAAAAGTGTCATTGTGGGGACAAGTCATCCCACTGCTGTGCTGGCATCAGAGGTAGTAACAGAGGCGTTATAGGGCTGAGATGGGATCACTTTAAGAAGGCGGGTCCAGTGAGATGGAGCAGCGATTTGTGTGTGTGTGTGTGTGTCCCTTGCTTCTGTTACACCTTAATGCAGTATAAAATCACACGCTGAGGGAGCGCTGGTGGCGCAGTGGTAGTGCGCACGTCACATTTATGGAGGCTATATAGTCCTCAACGCGGGCAGCCCAGGTTTCGAATCCAACCTGTGGCACCTTTCCCGCACGTCAATCCCCACTCCCTCTCCCTGATTTCCTTCTCTATTCACTGTCCTATCTCTCAAATAAAGGCACAAGAAGACCAAAAAAAGAATCTTAAAAAAATAAATAAAATCACACACTGAGACACCATTATTACACCGTTTTGTATTCAGTGTATGAGTACAGAGACAAACTGACGGCAGAGTCTCTTATAGCGCTGATGCGGACTTACAGTGTAAAAAAAGCCTTAAAAAACTTTTACAAGGTATCTACAAAGACCACCAGCATCGCTGCAACTGAAGAGGCTGACAACTGTCCAGACCATTTAATCTGATATATTATCAATTCAAGTTAATATCAAATAATGTTGAGCACAGTAAAGGTAAGACTGGACACGTGTTTCTCTGTTTAAGGAGAAGAAAGATGAATTTCTGAAATGAAAGTGACGCTAGAAGAAATATCATGTTTACTTTGGAGGCTTTGGCATCTTCTTAGACTCATTACATACCACCAATTGCTCATTTTCCTCATTGTTTTAGTTTGACTGAGCTCATAAGTTGCTATTTTGGGCCAGGAGAGAGCAAAAGTGGACCTCAAGGACGACACAGCTCTCTCTACAAATCCCAGCTTGTTAGTGAGCCAAACAGGCCACTAGATCTCATTTTAATCAAATTAAATGTAGCGTAAAATTTTCTTAATAAGGGGAAGCCCGCTCCAGCGCAGCCCACTTGTTTCCAAAACCAAAAAAGAATTTGCTCTTTGATGACAGACTCAGGAAAACACAGAATAAACATGCGCGGACACACAAACACCCACATATCTAAACCATCTGCTTCTGAAAGGCTCATTTTGAATGAAACGGGAGGATGTTGCAAAGTTAACATGAGGTTCAATGATGCTCAGCAAATGTGTGAGTGTTTCTGTTCCTGTGTACACTTTGGCTCAAGGAACGGCAGCGAGTCCACTGCATGCTTGCTTGAGTCTAATTAAGCACATGTTAAGCAAATGTGTTGACGTTCCACGTTATGTTCTCAGAAGTGAACTCACCACTCACAGGGCTGCAGAGATCTGAAGGCCTGCAGAGCCTGGTCCATACCGGCAAAATCCCAAAACCGGACATCATAATCATAACCGCCGGTCACCAGACGGGCTCCAGAGGGGTCCAAACAAAGAGCCGAAACCTGAGGGGTTAAATACCTTACTTAAAAATAATACACAAATCGATCTAATGATGCTCAAAACATTTAAATATTTCACAGTGTCATCATTCTCCTCTAAATATTTAAATATTATATTTGTGTCATAAACAAATAATCAAATCTAAAAAATGTTTTAATTAGCAATCAGCACTGAACCTGTATTTCATATCGTCAATATATATATATGTATGTATATATATATAATATCAAAATGTATCACTGAGATACAAGACATCCACAAAAAAACACAGAAATTTCTGCTGAGAAAATGGTGCTGAAATGATGACATATCAGTGTGTGCAAAATGTAAATATAATATGTTGATTGTTGATTAAAAGCCACTTTCCTCTAACAATAAAGGTAAATGTCTTTAGTTTAATGTGTTTCCATAGAGCCGTGAGGTGCTTAAAAAAAAAAGTCCTTACTGTCTTGGTGCCATGCTGCAGAGTGATTTCATGAGTGTCAGGAATCTTCTTCACGGGGTTCTAGGGCACAGCGTTGACATGAACATAAGGAAACAGTAAGAAATAAAGAAGGCTGCATTATGTGAGCAGAAGTTCATCCAGAAATACAACTACGCATGACATTTAGACTCTAATAGGCAGCACAAATGAAAACTTCAAACCAGTCCTCCGCTGCAAATACCTGACTGGAAACAGTTACACTGCTGGATGTTAAAGGTTAGAATCTGAGCAGTATGACTTATAACCTCAGACAGTTACTTCACTAGATGACTGAGTGAAAACACAGTACCACCACACCTTGAGACTTTTTTGAGAAATGTGGCATTTTAGGATTTTTATAATGACTTATATATCATATAATAATATTCATTTAGTTTTTAGTAACACAATCATAGTTTTCTCATCCTAAGCATTACACTTGATGTTTATATTGTCTATTGCTGCCATCTAGTGGTGAAACCTTAAACCTGCCCCACAAAAAGGGGCAGGCGCCTTTAAATAAGCCCTTTAACAGAACTCATTTTGATATGTCACATTAGGAAAGCTCAGCTTTGCTTCTTTGTATGGCTTATTGTAATATATGAATAAAACAAGGCTCTAACATATACATCAATAATAACAACTGTTCTTCTCTTGATGTTAAAAGTCAAAGTGTCTGCTCTGAAAAATGCTTATTTGAGGCTGATTTGACATTTTCGACAGGAGGAACAAACACATGAAGAGGTGGTGGGAAATATTTAGTCATACTTGTCTTTTTTCCTACTGTTAAAGGCAGAGTCAGTAGCATTATTCATTGCAGCTCGTAAAACACAACACTCAAACTGGGCCCCTCCTCCTGCTCCCCACACTCACATACATTTACTGCTTGTACCAAACACTGAAAGCTATGGTACGCTAGCACAAGCTAACCACTGGTGTTTGGCACCTGTCTGTCCTAACACAAGGTTCACCCTTGTTTTGGAACAAGCTTTATCCGCTTGGCAGAGGACAGAGTTTCTGCAGACAGTCACCACCACACGTGTATGGAGGCCCGAAAGAAACGACTGAGTTGCATTGCTCTTGTCTAAGTCTATATTTTATTTCTTAGGAAAAAAGCTACTGACTCCATCTTCAAGGGGGGCACACACTTAAGACTTACATTATCATCTTCATCATCATCTTCTTCTGCATCCTCTTCATCATCTTCGTCATCACTGTGAGCTGTGCCGCCAGGTTGATGAGACTGTCTCACCAGCTCATCTTCATCGCCCTGGGCTGTGTATTGAGGAGGCAGTGGAGGCCCAATAAGCTCTGAGTCCGAGTCTGAATCAGAACCTGAACTACTGTCACCACTGCTTTCCTGTTTTCTAAAATAAAGAACATCACTGTTAGCCTAAGCACAGACATATTTTATACTTAAATAACAGACATGTGATTTACCTCTGAGGCACAAGCGGCCTGACCAAACCTCAATGTAGTTTTTCTTCAATCATCAAACAAAAAACAGAAACACATTGTTACCTTGAAGAAGCAGCTGCTGATTTGTCTCTCTGAGTGGGGAGCGATGACTCGGCTGATTTGGAGCTCTCCCCTTCTTTCTCCGTCTGGCGCTCCTCTTAAGAAGCAACAATAATTTAGTTGCATACACCCGGTTGAAACGGCTGGTAAAAAGCACAATGTTTTAAACCTACCTAATGCACGCTGACTCCTCTCGATGGCTGTTCTACGGGTCTGTTCAAAAATGGCATCCAGGTCAAATGTTCGAGCCTTCTTACCTGAAGGGAACAAAGACAGACGTAGATGAAGGGTGACTCATCTCACATTGTCAGGTTATTATATGGGAATTCAGTAGGCATTGGATATAATTGACTTGTATTTCTGGACAGTGCATACCAAACCCAGAGAATCCCATTACTGACGCCATTTCTCCATCATCACTCATCCTGTCAGAGGCTGCAAAAGAGGGAAAAAATGTTTATGCCAGCAAAGGCCATTGTGTCTACATACACTGTTTAAGGTAAAAGAATAAAAGCCCTCTCAGTTCGGTCATTTTTTTGTTTTAAAAGCAGCTTCAACTACCAGTACCAGTTTAGTAAAAAACTGAAGGAAGGAAACACCTAATTCAGAATATACAAGAAGACGTGACATAAATAACGTCAAGTGACTTACAGTCCAATGTTAAATAGAACAGGTTGGATGACAATACTCCAGTTTAACTTAATGACACCTACATACACACATACTAAAAAAAAAAGCATTTAACAGATCCATCTGTTTCGACTTGCCACTCTTCCTTTCTATCATGACTCGGATGAGTCCTCTGACGACGAGAATCATGACTTACATGGATGAGTATGACAAAGTATTCTGTGTCTTAAATCTTCTGCCACTCAATGCTTGACACTTCTTAACAGCCGTCTATGGCTACAAAAAACAGCGACTTGCTTTTCAGTGTGAATTGTACGATGTTGTGATTTGAACCTTAGGGATTGTCATAACTGACGTTTGCCTTTTCACGGGTCTTTTTATTCTTTTAGGTGATTAAAATACAATCAAAAGGCGGGAAGTGTAACGGAAAAATTCTGTTTACTGTCGAGGACACATGTTTACTCACAGCTCGCTTGAGAAATGCAGCAATAAGTTAACACGTAATATTCTTGTTTTGTCTTTACCCGAGGATGAAGGTTTCTCACAAATGGCTAAATATCAAAAGATACTCAGACTTGAAGTCTCCTTGACATTACTGCTGTGCGACGTGTTGAAATGTATTTGATATTTGACTGCGCCTGTATCTGCAATCCTTATAGAGGCATGAAGGTTTTTCTGTGAAGAGTGTGTATATAAACAGAAGCATATTGTGATTACTTGGAGCTTTTCCTTCAGACTGTATTGACACTCTGAAGGCTTTGTTCCTTCTGCTTGCAAGAAGAATTAAACTAAACAAAGACATTGACTGACTCATGATCCTTTTCTTTTTTGCATTGTTAACAAGAAATGTCCAGCACATCTGTCTATGTCTGCTTTAATGCAACTATCTGTTTTTAAATGTCTCTGGATATGTTATCTCTATTAATCTTTTATTGCTCTTAAACAATATAGCTTATTAAACAATAATATATATATATATATATATATATATATATAAATAAACTGTACTAACTTTAGTTATAATGTTACAATAAGGTTTCCAAAACAAAAACAATAAACATTATGACACATCAACGAGCTACAGCTGAGTCTGTCGAGTTCACACACATTTGTTAAGAACATACTGTTAACTTGTAGCACTGAATGTTCAAATATTTGACCTTTATTATTGGCTTTAAAGGCTTTTTGTTTAAACAACAAATCAGAAAGTAAGCTAGCAAGCAAGCTAACAAAGGTAAAAAAACGTGTCTGCTCACACATCCTGGCTCAATGAGCTGGTGAATGTGACACAGACTGGAAATACAGCCTAATGCTGATACACATACATGTAAGACGTTCATCACTAATACAGAAAAACATAAAGAAGTGTGAAAGCAAAAAGTGGCTACCTTCTCCCAATTTGTTTGGATCCATGTTTTCAAATACGACTCCGGAAGTGCTTCGTTCTTCTTCTGTGGTGTTTGCTGCGGCACAGCTGTTTGCAGGGCGCTCCTAGTGTTCAGAGAGCAGAATAATGTCGCTTCATAGCAATTCTAAAAGAAACAACACTGTACCTATATGAATATGTATCAATTATTTATTATTTAAAATACAATAAAATACAATGAAATATATTATGAGTTTTAGCTTTTTAAGAAATAACATGGCACTGTTCTAATGTATTATTTGTTGTATATAACTGTAAAGATTTGCTGTATAATCCAAAACACAGTCAGCTAATTAAATTCAGAACCAATCAGTTTGCTGTTATTAATGTATGGGAGCATTAGCATTCGTAGGATAGATGCCAAACTAAGACAGAACCACAAATATTAAACGCAAGCATGTGTGATCCAGCAGGTAGCTCCATCAGGCTAAATAGAGAAGAATATTAAATGTGAAAATAACACGATAGCAGCTTTAAAAAAAATTAAACCATAAAATTTAATTCCAGAAACAATTACATGTGTACAAAATAAAAATAAATATAGAAAAATGTACAAATAGAACAAACAAAAAAACATAGATAAAAGGACATCAATGCAAGTGTGAGTGCAACAAAAATATGGCTTTAGTATAAAAGCCATCATCTATAATCTCTTGTATGCTGACTTTATTCATTTAAATACAATATGTGTATTAATAAAGATAAATCTTAATAACAATTTTTATTTTCGTAGTTTGAAATCAATCTGATTTGGTAGTATTTCAAAAGGCACATACAATCTTGTCCCCCCCCCCACTATGACATTTAATTTCAAGCATCCTCTGCAGCCACCATCCTCTCGATAGCTGCCCAGTCTATTTTGCCGAGTGTGCTGCCGGTCTCAGAAAGGTTGTCCAGCCAGTCCGTGTCCGACACACCAGCTCTGCATCGATCATTCTGTTCTTCCAACAGCCCAGCCCCGACCTAAAAGATGTACAACATTGTGATGAAAGTGAAAAAGAATACAGTTTTTTCCTTCTCAGATGTACACTATATTGTTATCTTACCCTGTTCGCCTCCTCTTGGCCCAGCAGCATATCCAATTCTGATGTGGGCTCCCAAGTGTTCAACTCTGTTGTCTCTTCCATCCTGGTCTTCCTTAGGATCCCTCTCCCTGCAGCCGCCACCATTGGAAGACTTTTGTTTGGCCCCGTCTTTTGCTGGTGTTCAAATTGCCGCTCCTCACTTTGGCTGGATGTAAGAGCTTTTGATTTGCTCTTTGGATCTGTGAGCATGCCACGTCTGGTCACCTGAGACAGACGGTCCCTTGGCAGAGAGGTAACTAACACAACAAAATATACCACCGTGTGAACCAGTTTGCTGCATTTACAATTGTGGGTTTGACAACAATGTAAAACCAGCATGTTTCCAAAAAGTTGGGACAGTGTATCACAAACTGAAAATGTTTGGGTCATTATGAAGCGTAATATAGACGAAATGGACCCTGACCTCTTAAACAGCTGAAATCCGACAGTATATAAAGATAAACATAAACATTGAAAATTACAGAACTGGTCTTCTCAATTCCCAAACACTTATGAAGTGTTTTAAGAAAAAGTAATGTAACAGAGAGATAAAGATGACACTGTCCAAACTTTTTTTTTTTTAAATATGTTGCTTGCAGAAAATCAAAAGTTGGCATATAATTTTCCTAAAACAATGACATTTCTAATTTTCCACTTTTGATGTCATGTCTTTGTGATATTTTCAAACAAATATGGGGTTTCAATATTTTGCAAATCATCACATTGTGATTTTATTTACATTTTACACTGTGTCTGAACGTTTTTTGGAAACAGGGTGGTAGACGGATATCTTTACCGTACCTGGTCTATGTAGTCCTAGTCTCCTGCGTTCGTCCTCTGAAGTCCGTCCCTGTGTGTCAGCTGTCCATGGTCGAGAGTGTGGTTGAGCCCGCCCCGACTCCAGACTTCTTTCATCACTGGCAGATACATTGGAAACCCTGAATAAAAGATAGTACCTCCATTACTAAATCCAGGTAAGTTTAGAATGATCAAGTTTGGGCCTGCACAGAATCTGATAATGGTAGAATAATTAGGAAATGATATAAAGTTTGATCAAAATCAGAGTTAAAGTATTCTTTGATGAGATGAGAACCTGGTCCCATCACTGCTCTAGAAGATACCTGTAGGTGCTGCCAGGTGGAGGAGCAGAGTTGGACCGTGACGCTGAGGGCAGTGGAGAAACTCCAGTTCTGGAAGAAGGGCGTGTGGTTGGTGGATCGGCGGAAAAGTCCCTGGCCAATGAAAAAGCTTCACGGGTCCTCTGGTTGTATTGATCCAGAAGAATAAATCTATTAAATGGATTGGAAATGAACATTATAAGCTTGATGTCCATAATGGATAGATAGATAGTGCAAAGACATACATACTTCTCTTTTTCCTCCCTGGTTCTCCAAACAGTTGTGTCATTCTTCTTTGTTGATTTCTGCAGGTAAAACAGATAGACATAATGTGGATTCTTTAAACGATGAACATTAGAACATCAGTTCAAGTAAAAATAAAATGATCACTCACTGCTGCTCCAGAAGAATAGAAGGGTCTGTGCTCCTTCTCCCTCAGGCTCTCTCTGTGTTTTTGATAAACAGCCAGTTGTTCCCTCTGTTTCCTCCTCATCCAGATCCTCAGCTCCCTCCTCTCATCTTCTGGACGGACTCGTTTCTGTGACATCCAGCCATTTCGCTGCTGCTCCATGCTGCAGGGGGTCACAATACTTATCAGGTCAGTGAAAATCCTAGCTGTTACAGATTTCACATTTGGCCAATGCTGAATTTGAGAAATGACAATACCTGTTAGGGTGCGCAGTCTGTGGATAAGATAAATCCAGGTCATTCAGGGATAGATAGCCTTCCCTCACCAGCTCGTCTAAAATTTCCGCTGTATCAGATAGCCCAGTCAGACCCAAGTTCTCATCCGCACATCTAAAGACAGAGTGAGAGCAGAGCATGTACAACAGAAGAAAAAAATACAACTGTGACAATTACATCCTCAACACAGAACTGCTAATAAAGTGACTGATAATATTCAGATTCACTTGAGCTTATCATTTCATTTCAACCAGTCCATTTGTATTTATATAGTGCCAAATAATAACAAAATGTTATCTTCAGACACTTTCCAAAAAGAGCAGGTATACACTTTACTCTTTGTTATGTCATTTACAGAGAATCCCCCATGAGCAAGCACTTTTGAAATATTTGGCAACAGTTGCAGGAAAAACTTGCTTTTTAGAGACCTCAAACAGAACCAGACTCATGGTGCACAGCCATCTGCTGTGACTGTGGGGGCCGAGAGGCAGAGATCAAAAGAGCAGAGAAATAGACAAACAACAGAAGAGAAACAACAAAAACAACAGAAAAGCAACAACAACAATAAAACTTACACAGCAGATGTTCCAGAAACACTGGTGAGCTGAGTTCTTAACCCTGTGTGAGCAAAAGAAACATTAAACTCACGATATCATGACTTTTAGAACAACTCCATCCATCCACTATACAGTAAATGCAGATGTTAGTAACAATGGAGATGAGATAAAGTAGAAACCACTTGGTGGAGGTTTTTGATGTATCTTTACTTGGTGGGGTGTGAACGTGTGAAGGATCAGCATTGTGATCATGAGAAGTGGAATAACGAAAAGAAGGCTTACTCTCAGGAGTGAGAGAGTAACTATGAATGACAATTTCTTCTTCCAGATCTTCCTCTTCTTCTTCCAAGGCATTTAGTTCATTCAGTGGATCCAGTCTAGGCATCCATGCTGGAAGAGACAGAAAAAGAACAAAAGTCTTCAAGGTGACTGAATAAACTTTTTTTTGTTTTATTATTTGAACAAATGTCCGATGGAAAGTTCTGAAAAGTTGAAAAATCAAAATTCGGACAGAAATGATCTTTTAAGAAACAAAGTTAAAAAACCACTGATGAATTATTCTGATGGAAATTTCTGATACAAAATTTCAAAATTATATTATGGTTAGAAATTTTCCAAACTTAGACAAAAATGTGATTTTCATCAACAATTCTAGATGAAAAATGAGGCAAAGTTTCTGAAGAAGATATATTCAGAAACTTTTATCTAAGATAAAAATTCTGATGATCATATTCATAAAAATGTTCCCCCCCAAAAAATCTAATTTAAATTTTCCACATACAAATTATGCTTTTCTAAAATGTACAGACAATTTTTAAAAGAATATTTCAATAGATTCCTGAAATAAATATTCCACTATTATATATAATTCTATTAATCCTACAGTTTTTTGTTTTTATTGCAGGTGATTAGTTTGGTCATACCTTCCTGTGGGACGGACAGTCTGACCGTCTTTTTCACTGCTGTTGGAGACTTCACATCAGGAGCCAATCCCGGTGTAAGCGGTGTATTCACCAACTACAGAGACAAACGAGTGATATGTTAGAGTAAAAACACATTTTTAAACTGTGTTGTCATCAATAGCATAAGCATAAACTACGTAAAATAAATAATGTACCATCCTGGAGTTGGAGAAGTCCCTCTCCAGATTGTCCGCGATGTTCTGCAGAGCAGCTAACTGACAATCCATCTCAGACAGGTGGGAGGAGAACCAGACTGTTGGAAGTGTCGATGAGGCGCTGTGAGGTTTGATGCTCTGGCTCTGTATGGCCTGACAGATTTCAGAGTCAGATGGATCTTCTATGTCTTGTGAAGTGATTCTCTCTTGTACTCTAACTGGCTCATAGTGGCTGCATGAAGGCAACTCCTCAGGGATACCTGGAGTATACAGTACAACAGATATTATAGAAAGATTCTACCGACAGTTGCTCGATTGAATTCAGAATGAAGCCATTACGGCATGAGACTGTCTGTATAAAGACCTGTGTGAGTGGAAGCTTTCATGTGATCCTCCTGATTTGTCACTGAGGGGTGTGGATCAGCAGCAGCTCTCCTTAAAACAGATGTCGCAAGAACATGAAGCTGAGCAGAAGTAGGGGATGGAGGGCGGTTGG